GCAATGCACATTGCTATAGACAGCGGACATGATACTGATTTCGACAATTTCGACAATTTCGAAATTCTAGGAAGAGGCTTTCATCCAACACATAATGAAAGGTTGACCTCTGAAGCCAGCTCTGCATATTTTAACCACATTGAATTCAGTAAATAGGAGAGATGGGATAGACTCCAATGAAGCAAGACAGATGAGGGAGAAAAAACAAATCCAATCCTGTCTTATGACCATATTATGAATAGAAATGAAATATTATCTTGTTTTGACCTGTTTTCCACATAACCGACAACATACATATGCACACTCATACAGAAAAAACGAATATATGACAGTTTGACATTCGTTGAAGGACTTCATCATGAGCTAACATCAGTTAGAGAATCACTGGAAAACCACCAGAAAGTACTGGACAGCTGTTTCGCCCTAGCTCGGGACTCGTCATCAGTATTCACCCACTGCGGTTCGAACCCAGGACCTTCTGGTTACAAGGCTAGCTCATAGACCATTAAGTTGTGTCATGAGTCGGTAGAAGTTAGAGTTTGTAGGCTATTGGATCGGGTCCCAGTGGCCAAATGGTTTACGAGTACGCCTTGTAACCAGAAAGTCCTAGGTTCAAACATCACATTGTGGGTACGTACTGATGAGGAGTCCCGAACTAGGACGAGTCAGCCATCCAGTACTCCACAGTTTTACAATGGTTCTCTAAATGGTGTTAGCGCATGATGAGATCCTCCAGCCAATCAAACAAATCCCTACAAAACCAATACTTGAAAATTTGACATTAGTCATTACAAATATGTGATGACTGTTTACACTTTTCTATTGGTACAAACGTCAATCGACAAGTGACCTAACTTCAAAGGAACTGACTTCAATTTATGTAATTTTCGACTATATAATATTTTGATGATTAATAGAATTCGAATAATTCTGCTGAAGAAGCTATAGCTTACACAGCGAAACGTTCAGAAAACAGATCTTGTTTTGATTTTTTTCTTAAACACTTTGGAATTATTTTAAATAATTTATAATGAATCACTCTGACTTGGCGGTTAAATTATTCCAGGAAGTATTCGTAACATCTACGGTCTGGAAACTTATAATGAAATTATAATTTATATTCATGAAAATGCCATATACTTAGCTAATCTTAGCAAAAACACCTGCCAAATAGGTAAATATCGACCAACAAACACTGTTACACCTGCTAATTTGCATAAAGTAACTCACCTTACAATAGTAACTTTTATACGTGGAAACGTGTTAAAATGATGAATCGATCACTGGATTATTTACTGTACTAAAACGCCTGCACCTGTATATCTCTCCCTTACATCCAACTGATAGCTGCCAGCTTGATTTGGTGGTCAGTCTTGCATATCATAATGGTCCAATAAGTTATACTGGCTGGAAAAAGTGTCCCTGAAGGTCATACCACCCCAGAAAGGTTGGTTGGGATAGTGGTTACACTAAAAGCAGTTACTATTATGGTATTAGTTGTACTTCATGTCAGATAGGGGGGAGTAACCGCAGAAAGCCAACTATATTGTCTTTCGCATCTGTGGAGGTCAGGGTGGTTAGAAAAGTTCAACCCCCAAAGTTACGCATCATATCTTACGCGCTTACATGTCGAAATGACCCAACAGGCTACACTGGCTGGAACTAATGTTCCTGCAGGTCCTACCATGCCAGGAAGACTGTTAGAATAGCGATTAAACTAAAAGCAGTTACCGGCATAGTAAAAGATTCTTTACACAATGCTGGGGTGTGTGCGCAAAGTCATACTGCTGGGGAACAGAGATGTCACAGGAGTAAGGTGTCCCCCTCAGACGACCAGCATGCCAGCCAGCTATGCTGTCTCTTCGCTCTGGAGGGAGGGGGTTAGAAAAGGTTGACCCCAAAAAAGTGTACATCCCGACTTATCCTACGGTGGTTCGTAGCCAGTGGTAAGTTGCTAATATGGAACCAAACGTAGAAGCCAGTCCGGACTGGCCGTGTGTGACTGGCCACAAGCAGTTATTCTCTGGACTCTGTGGTCACACAACACTAATAATCTTTCTATTTCGAGTATGGGCAGCTAGAAAGCAGCAAGCGCCCATACACACTTCCAGAAGCACGCAAAACCCTCCTGATCTTGGAGAGTGGCAACTCGAACTGCTGCTGCATATCTCTGCAAAGTCCTTTTTTGAAACCAGTCAGTCAATTAGTCAGTTTGCTAGCCATCTAGATCGAATTGAATCTCAACATCAAAAAGGCCATTTCGGTCAAGAGGGTCATATATTGTCGCCTGAGTAATTTTGGTGTCCAAAGAAGGCTGTCGTGAAATTTCACCTTTTCGAACTGTGTAAATTGTAAATCGCTAATTAAGCAGTCATTAACTGAGTATTTGATTTAAGGAAATTTAGTATTAATATTATATTATTTATTTTATTCCTTTACGTTCCCACCGGAACCTAGGGCTTCAAGCTAGAGGTTTGAAGTGGTCGCATTTTTACGGGGTGGGGTTGCTAGTCTCACCTAGCCCAACGTTCCCTCTTCGCCGTATTTAAGATCAGCTTAGAGAGATTTAGGAATGTATCGTCTGAGGGTCAAACCCCGGACCACGTGAGGCATGGTTGGCGAGCGGGCCACCACTGAACCACCAATTCACAATGTAGTATTAAATTCGCTAATATATGAGATAAATTTCTTTAACATTCATAAGTACTTGGAATTAATCAAAAAGTTTTTATGCTTATATCTTAAGAACTTTCTTATAACTCTAATGGAATACATAAACATTTTTATACATATAACACAACTGTCAATGGTAGAAGCCTAAAACTTTCATGTGTAACAAATATACTACTTATTTCATTATCAGTAGCCTACATTGCAACTTCCACCAATTTGCTAATTCACTAGTTGACTAGCCTGCCTGAAGGCCGGAGAAAGAGGGAAGGTTTAGCGTGGGATAGCAACCATAACCCGAAAAATTCAACCAATCGATGCAGAAACTTTAAACCACAGAAAAAGTACAAAAAAATTACTCTTCTCTGAAATCAGGGAGACAAAATGATGTCTGCTGGTGAAAGCCTTCAAGAAACCAGTTAGCCTATGTGTCTGGGAGAGCAGATGACATGGAAGTGAGCTTTCCAAATTGTTAACTGGGCTGTCAATGATCTAATTGTGTCATTCAGACAACAACCACCAACACAGTGTGGAGGTGGCTATCACAATATAACCAGCAGCAGCATTGAAGGCTGTTGTGCATGGGAGCCAATCCTCTGAGGTCACTTGTTCTATTCGAAACGCAAAAAATGACTAGTAATAATAATTGAAATCCTACTCCAGTGGTAGAATTCTCGCCGGGTTCGATCCCCGTCGGACGCACTCCTTCAGACCTTCTCTAAGCCAGCAATAAGATTGGTAATGAGGGAAAGTTGGGCCAGGTGAGACTGGCTAGCAACCCCATCCTGTAAAAATAAACACCACTGCTACTGGAACTTCAAAACTGTAGCTTGAAGCCCTATGTTCCACTAGGAACGTAAAGGAATGAGTTCACTCCAGACACTCTCCAGAATCAAAGTCTAAACTTTCTTCATATTATATATATATACTACTTACTGTTTCGTCAGTAGTTTCATTCGCGATAGTTAGATATGTATTACATTATATGAAACGCATTTATTAGTCTCTATGTGACCAATATTTGTATTAGTTTTATGCTATAAAGGATCAAGTGTTTTCCAGTTTTTGTGTTAATGAACTGAAGAAGTTCACTTTTTAAATAACGAGTCAACCATTTGATCACTTCATCACGTATGCTATCATTATTCATTCTGTGCTCTCCAAGTGGAACATAGGACCTCAACGACACGTCCCCATTGCATTTGATTCCATGTCATCATTTTCAGCTGGTTGCACAACTGCACACAACCTTTTGTCAACTCTTGACATGATCTCCTCCATATCACCCTCCATCCCATGTTCAACTCCTCGCTCCCCATTCGCTGCCCACAGGAACACCTGGCTTGTTATATCACGCGGGAGATCTTTCCGCTCAGTATATGCCTAATCCAACCCTATTCTCTTCTGTATACTTAATAAGCAATAGTTTCTTGACTGTTTCACTGACCGCCAAAGTTCCTTGTCGCTTATCTTTTCTCTTCAGCCATATGACCTTCAATCTGGTGGCAGGGAAGGTAGCTATTGATGAATGTCCTCAGTCTGTTGGAAGTACTTTTGGTGAAGCTCACACCAAGTTCGTGAACCCTCCATAAGCATTGACTGAAACAGCAACAATGTTGAAAGTTCAGATGTTATTCCTTGTGGTGAGTGATATAGTTTTCCACAAAGATTAATAGACGTATATCTTGCTCTCCGATACCTGGCTGGCTTTGACATCCTCATGCGTGCCGCCTACAGCAAAAATGACGCTATCGCAATATGTAATTGAGATAACTGTCTTTATGTTTGTCCCGATGATGGTGACTGCTGTTTGTTTGTTTGTTTGTTGTTGTTGTTGGTTGGGTTTCTCCATCACCTCTGTTTTCCCTATATTTACCTTGAGTTCCTCCGGTCTTCACTGACACTTCAGCCAATTTGTTGGTTTTCACTTGTAAATTTCCGCATTTGTGTGACAGGAAACATAATCCTAGATCTTTTAGAGTCTTTCTGTTGGTTAAACATATACCCATCTTCTAACGCATCATGATCTGTTGCACGATCCATTCCACGATAATCTTGAAGACCATCAGTACTAGTATTACATTTCAAAGATTTATTTAATATATAATCTTATATGTTATCCTATTTTTATCACTGTCTTTCAGGGCAGGCAGAAAATGTTTGTTAACACCATTTATTTGATGAATATACTGAGTAAAATTACCTTCAGCATCTGATTATTCCCTAATTTTTATGTCGTTTTATCATCATACTACTCGTACAATAGTTAGTAGTAATCTGTGTTTCATCACAAACGTTTCGTTTCAATATCAGGTTACTTTTTTTTATAGCTTCATATACTTTCTCAATTACATTTATATGGAATGAAACACTGGTCATATTGGGGTGCACATTTCCTCACGCATATATTACAGTATCTACTATTGGTTTGTTTTACTACAGTATTCATGTTCCCTTGCAAGGTAAGTAAGAATAAGAAGTTGAGATTTGTTGATATTTTTTTCAAGAGTTGTAGTTTGTTTCAAATTTGACCATGGGAGTACTAGACAGGTAGTTCATCCTTGTTTGGGGCTCTTCATCAGTACGCACCGAAAAACCCACAGCATATCTATCCCACGTTCTTCAGGTTACGAGGCTAAGCTTGTTGATCTTTCAGTCATTTCAACTAGAATTCAATGACCCTGTAGCTTGCATCTTGTTACAAGATCAAATTACTCCAGATCTTTTGTAATATAATTCAAAAGTATCAAACAGTCATGCCAAGGGGAAAAGTCCCCCGGAGTAGTCTCAAACTAGGATGTGGTAGCTGCCTGTTACTCTCTGCTTTTCAATGATTCTCTTACTCACTCCAATTAGTGACGAAATGTATGCGAATTAAGGATAATACCAATGGCAGATTAATTCTGGATAATGTGTTCATATGTACAGTGTATAGTTCTGTGTATTTTAACGTAAATTCTTTCCCGTTGTAGAGGATATTGGCCAAGTTAAACTTTAGACACCAATAACTACCAATCAGCGAACGACGTCGAATTATCCAATGAGATTCACGAACTTAGTTCAATATTGTATAGCGCTTGATTCATTTCAATGCGTGCCCTTACAAGGTTGCGTTTGCAATTCGAGGAGGATAGTGTCTTTCAGTATTGCCTGGACTTAGGCTTGCTTCTAAAGGAGAGAAGTTGTTCGTGTGGTGGTGTAATGACTCTAAAAAGCTATACTAGGTCAACTGATGGTTTTGTACATCGTTGTGGAATATGCTGGAAGCGAGTTTGTATCAGAGGGTAATATTTCGTAGGAACTATTTTGCTAGGTCGCCCTTCTCCCTAACCCATATTTTGTACATTTGCAATTACTGAGTACTGAAACAGCCCGTGAGAGCCTCTGCTGCCGAGACGGAGAACAGCCTCGTCTCAACAGTTCAGTGGTACCAGCACTGCAGAGACATCGCCTCATGGAGAATGGACAGAATTACTTCGTTGTTAGGCGGGTACGACGTAGTAGTCCATGTGTATGAGACAGTGTTGGTGAAGAAGAAATATAACCGCGGTCGTCAGAGAGCGAATAACATTTGGGTCATAGGTTTATACGACACGTCCCTCCGAAAAGGATTTGCTGAGAGAATAGCAGACAGGAAGGCGACTACTCTGGTACCTATTATAAAGCGACTCGTGAAACCGGGATCAATTGTACATAGCGACGAGTGGAAAGGCTATGATTCATTGTCATCCCTGGGATACATTCATCACAGAGTGAACCACTCCAGTGATTTCGTGGACCCAGTTACAGGAACTCATACAAATTCCATTCAAGGATTTTGGGGTCGATTGAAAAATAGAGTAAGGGCTATAAATGGACCTCAAAAGGATCTCATTTATATTTATTTAGATGAACATATGTATAGAATGTGGTGTGACTTCTCTATTGACAGTGCCATGCTGAATTGGGAAATGTTTCTCATGTTCGGGAAACATACCCATTGTAACCGTTTTATCATTTTTTTTGTGCATTTTCCTATAAATATACGTTTCCGCTTGTCATAAACGTCTCTTACATGTGATTGGTCCGTTCAAGGTCGTTTGCTGATTGGTTGTTATTGGTGTCGAAAGTTTAACTTTGCCAGGATATTCATATAAAATGATAATTCATCCATGGTGTATCATTTGACGCAATGGTATTGGCTATGAAGCAATCTCCAGTCTTCTAGGAGGTTATTCATTCACTTACCCAAGAAATAAAACAGCACAGCGCCAAGTTGGAAACTGTTTAAAAATGCACGTCAATGACACAAAAGAATTAGTGAGGCAGTATGAAATGGAATGAAGTGAATGTATTATATGTCATGGAATATTAGGACAGCCTGTTGATTGAAGCGTCCATGGTTTAGCGATAGAATGCTCACCAACTATTCACACGTGTTCTGGAGTTCGGTCTTCAACTGATGCACTCGTGAATTTCGCTTGTGTCGAAGTAGTAAACCCCATAAAGAGGGAAAGTCGCGCAACGAGGTTAGCAACCTCAACTCTTAAAAAAACACCTCAACTATTCATGTAAGGATAAAACTTGGGCACTGTGGTGGTCGAGTATAACTCCATAATGGATAAAATTCATTTTGATAAATCACACAGTGTTGTACAATAACATTAACTGATGACCACATTTCGAGCACAATTTATTACTGCTCATAATCATCATATCAAGTCATTACTCACACAGCTTTCTTGCTTCGTTTATACACATGAGTAAAAGTCGATTAGACATATGAATAAAATCAACAAAAGACATGCGTGAAACAGAAAGGAAGATAAAGTACATTCGGAACGAATGTTAGTGTTATGAAGTAAAATATAATACGATGGGAAATGGGACGAGTGTTGTTAGTCAGTCGGATGGGAAATAAGATGTTTTCATAGTAAAATAAACTTGTTAAAATGTTAGAATGTGAACTGAATTCAATACATTTTAACGATATTATTTATCATCCTCTGATTTGACTGGTGGTAATAATATCTTCCATACATATCTCTGCGTTGAGTCACTTCTATTGCATACGTTGGGTGTTGGAAACGTGGTTATCATCAGTAAATATTACTTACTGTATAACACCACTGTGTGATTTATCAAAATAATATTTTATCCATAATGGAGCTAAGACAAGTGTTACACATGTCGAGTCACCGCCTTCCTCAACGATAGGCAATGTTAACTGACTGACATAGGGTCGATAAGGTTGGAAAAGAGCTATCACTTACGTAGTGGTCAAACCAAAACATGGCTTCATCACATCAGTCCATGAAATCCATAACAGTTAGTTAAAGCCAGTCACGTGTAGGGAGGTGTAGAGTTCCTGACTGGCTGGTTGGGATCCTCGGAATGGCAAGAACCAATGAAGGATGGCTGGAAATCGTTCTCAGTGGCTGGTGCATCTGCATTCACTCTTTGTCATATGGCATATCTTGTTAAATATCAGTATCCTCTATTCTCCTTTACCTTTTTCTCTATATGTGCTTACCAAGTGTGATAGATTGAATAGTTTGCACTTATTTAGGCTGAAAAATTCATCTAGTTTTAAGAAGTGTACTAATTTCCACAGTAAACTATTACTTGTATGTGTACTGCTAAAAAAATCCTAAACGCAAGTATGAAATAGTTGTCCAGTACTCCCTGCTTGTTTTTCAACAGCTCTCTAACTGACATCACTCTATGATCAGACTTGAAATCACTGAGAACCACGAGGTACTGAATAAGCGTTTCGTCCTAGCTTGGGACTCTTCAGCACAGTAAGGATTGAATCCAATATCTGAATGCTCATACCCAACTGATTACTATCTACGTAGCATGAGTGTTCCGAAATTCTAATGAGAACTTGTGGCCGGTGCAATCCACTGTATTGGCTATGAAGTAGATGCCAATAAATGACATTGGTATTAGCGGTAACTCTATCTCATGAATTGACACATGTTTCAATTCATAGGTCACTGAATTGCAACCAGATAGCCGAAGGATCAACAGATCAGCTTTGTAACGTGAAGGTTTTAGCTTCCAATGACTGGTGTGGGGTTGGCGAGCATTCTGTCGCTGTGCCACCGACGCCTTCGTGACGAATGTCCATATCGAAATTTTACTCCCATTGATTATAAACTTCATTTGGATGAATGATAATGTCGAAACCAGGGAGCGAAAATGAGGTAGAAGATTTTGTGTGTCAGTGTGTAACTTAATGACTAAATTTAAGTAAGGAGACAAAGGGTTTGTCTAAACGAGTGCAACAATAAGGGGTAGGGGAATTTACATATGTATACAGAATGGAAGGTCATATCTAAAATGATGCAACATAATACAGTATTTTTGAATTTATAAGCTCGACAGCAAGTCAGGGTAGCAATATAGTGGTTGGACCTGGTTGTTTCTGCTCATAGAAAATCGGCTTTTTTAAGCGAATTGCAATAATCTCTGCTGCTTGGAGTATTTGATGCCTAGAAGATTCCGGCAATCAATCGAAATTTCATTATGATCTGACATCGGTTAGGGAGAATCATTAGAAAATCTGGGAGTACTGGATAGTAAGCTGTACGGCAGTACGCGTCCAGCACCTGGGTTTGAACCCAGGACCCTCCAGTTACAAAGCTAGCGAGCTCGTCGACCATTCAGTCACTGGGACCCGATCCAGTGACCAGTCTGTGAGTCACAACTTCTGCCAATTAACGGCATAGTACGACTGGCACTAGACATTGTCATAGCTGGTGAGTATTTGTCATCACACTCGACCTGCTATACCCAAATGGTCGCGAATTCTCACTAGAACCCAAGTAGCTACCTGCCTGAATGGGGCAAGTCCCCAGTGGGCATCAGATTATTATGCAAGTGTTGATTTGCAGGGATAATAATAATTATTATTTGCTTTGTTCCAGAAACAGTACTAGTGGTACAGTGTGGAATTTTCAGCACATATCTACAATATTTGCATCTAATTTTATCAAACATTTAAAAGGAGTATTTCAAAAAATAAATAAATAAATATAAAGACACCAACAGCGAAACAAAACAGGAAAAACACAAAATAATTTTTTAAAAATGCGAAAAAATACCAAGAAGTAGATAGGAAAATAAACAGCATATAATAATAACTCAGTATTGGGTAGTGGAAGCTATGATATGATTATGCAAGGTGACAGTAAAGCTATAGTCATACAAGAAGTTACGAAATGATATTTAAGAATGTTTATCGCCAAGATGATCAGTTAATTTGGTTGAAACAACTCTGAACAATCATAAAATAACATTTTAGGGTTGTTGTTTTGTTTTTTATTATCAGGTCTAATGCGGTGTTTGTAGTAGTAGTGTGAGTAATCCTGCATAATACGAAATTTTTAAGGTGGTGACAATGGCGTTCACAACCAATGATTGTCAGTTAATATTGCCGAAAAAAGAAAAAATAAGAAAAACAACCACAAAACTAATAATTACATGATGGTTAATGACAGGACAATTTTGTACTACTCATAGAGCTAATATAGTCAGAACCAGTAGATACACAAAAGAAGGAAATACAGTAAAGTACAAAAAGTAAGCCAACGTTAATAATTTAGGTAGCTAAGTATGTTTGAGAAGGAGCTCACTACAGAATACAAAATAAGAGAGAAATAAAAGAGCCTAAAATTATGATTATTAACAACAAAGCCAGTCATAGGTTTCGCGCCTTACATTGTCTCTGTCGCGTAGAACACGGGCCAAGTATGGTATCGTTGAGTTCCTGTACTTGGTTGTACGAGCATAGATTATTTTATACTGATTTCTGGTTTTACTTGATGAGATACAAGGCGAGAGTTAGGATTTGATTGGTTACAGGATTTCATAATGATGAGCAGACATCGATTAGAGAACCAATCGATTAGTTCCCAGTGGCTTAATGGTCTACGAGCCCACTAGCCTTGTAACCGGAAGGTCATGGATTCGAATCCTAGTGGGTGTATACTGACGAAGAGCCCCAAGCTGGACTGACGAAACAACTAGCTGTCCTATGTTCCCTGGTGGTTTTCCAATGGTCCTCCAACCTATGTCAAGATGAAATCCTTGGAAATCAATCAAAAAACTCCTACGGAGGGCGAAATCTGCTAACATTTATTACTGAACTATTGCAAAGTTACTATAACTACTCATTAACTTACTCATATACACTTTTCTGATTACATTTATTCGTTTTAATAGAATCATATATTATCATATTGGCAAAGTGGTCTATTACATAACTGGTTAAATTTTTTAACTGCAATCGATAGTATCATTACAATTTATGTCGGGTGTTTATTTATCAATCGACCAAGTGCTGCAACAGTATTATTTGGATCAACAATATTAGTGAGTCCCTGTGAAATTTCTTTTATACACATACATACATATCTACTTATTATTTTTCATTTGGTTTGATTTTATTCCTCTTGCATTCAATTATGAAGTTCAATTTACAATTTATTAATTCATGTGTTTTGCCCATCATTCTTTATTGTTCTCCATTATTCTTCCCTGGGCTACTCAAGAAAGACCATATAATACTACGAAGAACATTGAAGGTTGTAAGTAGGGTCAGCGCTATCCCTTTGACTCAACTAACCGACACTGTTGTCAATAGGCATATGAATTCTTGTAAACACTTAGCTAAAGTTATCTTGTCTGATAGTGAACATCCTCTTTATTCACAATTGTTTCCTTGTATCTCTTCGGGTAAGACCAGTAGAAATTTCATGAACATTTATGCTCGTACTACAAAATATACAAATTCGACTGTACCATATTTGGCACGAGTATGGTGTGAAGAGACAAATATCAGAAAAGAAATTTTACAACTTTTAAATCATTAACTAAACTATAAAATGAAATGATGCATATTATTGCATGTGTTATTTGTTATATTACTTATTTATTATTCACTATGACCTAGCAATGGTGTGACTTTGTTGGGGTCTTTATTTTTTCCTATTAACTATCAATATTTTAACATTTTATACATTTATGTAATTATAAACAGAGCTAAACCATTGCAACATGTACAAGAAACGCTGAAAATTCCATGCTGTAAATTGTTATTGTTGTGGAATAAAGTGATTATTATTATTATTTTATTGTTATTCAGGTAACAGCTATGTTTATTATTTATGGGTAGGGCTGGTAGTTTCACCCCTGGTCTTCTCTCTTCACCAATCTGACTATCGACTGAGTGAGGTTTAGGAGTCCATCGGCCGGGAATCGAAGCCTAGACCACATGAGGCGTGGCTGGCAAGTGTTTAACCATTGAATTACCGAAGTATAAATATGTGTGTTGGTAGTGGGGCAAAGTCAGACTTTAAGCACCACTAACTACCAATCAGTAAATGACCTTTAACTCACGCACCAATCACATGAAGGAGGCATTTTTGGTTATGGAATCCATGTAAACTTGTATTAAACTGTTACATAGGATGTCTTTCTTACACATGTGATAAAAACATCTGCAAGTTTAGCATAGAAGTATCAACTGGAAAGTTAAACCATATCTTATACATATATATTCACATCTAAATGACTATAAATGAACATCCTTTTGAGATCCTGTTTTTTAACCTTCCCCAAAATCCTTTGATAGAACTGGTGTGTGTCCCTATAATGGGATCCACAAAATCATTAGAATGGTTGACTCTGAGGTGAATATACCCAAGCGAAGACAGGGAGTTATAATCTTCCCACTCATCTGTGTGTATTATAAATCCTTGTTTCACAAGTCGAGTGATAATAGGTATTAAAGTACTTGACTTTCCATCTGCTGTCCTCTAGATGAATCCTTTCTGCAGAGAGGTGTCATGTAAGCCAATCATCCAAACATTATTTGCTCGTTCTACGCTACAATTGTATTTTTTTATTTAATAAGACAGTTTCATCCATACGTACGATGACACCTTCTCATCCCAATAAAGAAGTAAGCCTCTCTATTTTCCAGGATCCGATATCCCAGCAGTGCTGGTACCACTGAACTGTTTTAAAACCCAGTAATTACAAATAAACAAAATGTGAGTTAAGGACAAGTAGAACCTGGGAAAAAATCTTCCTACGAAATATTAGAATCATCAGCTTACCTTCCCTGACACTAACTCATCTGAAACAAATTGCACAACGATGGACATATCCATCAATCGACCTGCTGAAGCTTTTTATACCCATGACACCTCCACACGAATAAATCCTTTGCTTCCTAAGCAACTCCACATCCAAGCAATACTGAAAAACCTTCTCCTCACCAAATTACAAGTGCAACTGCGTTAGAGCAGGCATTTGACTCAAATCAAGCGGAACTCACGTGGGTGGAACTCACTGAACCATTCAAGGTCATTCGCTAGTGGGTAGTTAGTGGTGCTTAACTTGGCCGGAAATGGGATACAAACCCATGCCCACATTGTGGACCAGAACACTCAGAAGATTAATCTTGAGTCTGGAAACTTATACCACTCGGTTGATCCAACATGCATGCATATACTACTATAATCAATGGTAATCAGTAGGCACAAACCTGCTATTTTCATAGCCTACTTGTACACCATTTTTGGTGGGAGGGAGAAAGGGATAAAAACCATCGTAAGGTATTTTCGCGCCTAGCGTAGCAAACTCTACGGTGTAGATATTCCAGTCAGATAAAATGGTTGATAAAATACCTTCAAAATTGTCGAATGTAACAACCGGAATGCCTGCAGCATTTCATCTAAGCACATAATATAAAATCGTATAAGACTATCTCAACTAACTACCTGAGAAAAATCAAATCGAAATTTACTTCCACGTTTCTAATAGCAGTAATAAAAACAAAAGCAGTAATAATGATAACTTTTTTCTGGACAGTGTTTATAAAATGTGCGAAATTCTCAGCAAAATTTACTGCGTAATATATCACCTTCGTCCGGCATCTTCGAGTAAGTCATTAGTTGATAGTAGATCGTGTGATGTAATGTCATCTGACGTGAGGCGTAAATCAATCCCTTGTGATATGTCTTCTTTTGTCTCCTTCGAAAAATGTAGGATATATGGTTGAGAGTCTATTAAGAAAAGTTCACAAATACATTTTATAACTCAAATGGATAACTGAACGATCAAAGAAGGCAGGTAATTAATTTGATTTCTTAGGGAGTGACAGTTTGTATTGAAAATAACGTCTAACAGTGTTAATCCTAAGACATCATCGAAGTGTCCATGCTAGGAGGAGCCGAAATTTCTTAACAGAAGCCGAACATTTCCGTTCAATGAATCAACAAAAAATAATTCTTATCCCCATTGCACAAGAGGTGGCTCTCTTGGTTCAAGTGGTCAACAACACATCTCCACTTCGTTCTATTTTCTGTTGTCCTCTCCATCGGGGTCCACTATCGCACATAATCTCTCCTCTCCGCCTCCTCGCCCTACGATCTCCTCCGTGTCATCCTTGCACCGATGATCAACTCGTCGCTTCCCTTTCAGGTCCCATTCGAGCAATGGCCTGTATTGCGGACGATGTCATTCAACCAACCCATCTCTATTTTCTCCTAGATATCCACTTGTTGAGAAGTCGACTCTCACCTGTTGGTTTGCTCTGCTGAAGAGTTTCTTGTTGCTAATTCTTTCTGGCCCACCTTTCGGCCATTCGATCTTCAATATGGAAGGAAGGCAGCTGTTCAATAAAGTCTGCAGTAGCCTGTTGGAAATCCATTTCGTGATGCGCAGTGCAAGTTTCTGACCTGTGTAAAAGCAGTGACTGACTGACTTCACATTTGTGTGTGTTCTTAATGCTGCGAAGTGCAGAAGATTTCTTAACTGGTTTCAGGTTGATGAAGGCGTATCTTGTCTTTCTGATTCCCGCCTACTTTCACATCTTCATCCGTACAGACTACCTGTGGTTGAATCCGTGCTTCCTAGCCAGATAAGTGAAGGAAGTAACCTCTTTCAAATCTCTCCAGTTGATAGTGACTGGTGCTGATTGTTGTTGTTGTTGCGTTCGTCGGTTACCTTTATCACCTTCGTCACCACCTTCTCTATGTTCACCTGGAGTCCTGCCTCGCCTCTTCTGCTAGTTTGTTGGTTTTCACCTGCAAGTCTTCAAGATTGTGTGATGTTAAACATAAATCATCCACTCACGAAATCCAGATCTTCTCGTGTCTTCTTATCGGTCAGTACAGAGTATTCCTGTCTTCTCACCCTCTGTACAAAGTCTGACGAATAATCCACTCCACCACAATCTTGTTCTTTTGATATATATATATATAAATTGAAGGGTATTCAAAATATTCTTAAATCGTTGAAAAAAATGTACCCAAGTATGATTTATTTATTCCGTATTTTTCTTTCTAATTTCAGATTGTTATCTTCGTGATGATTATCATCTTTTTCACACCACTGGAATATTTAGCGACTGTCTACTGTTTGATCATATTAGTATTTCCTTTCGCCGACCCATTTTTGGCTTTACTACTAACAGAATTTGTAAGTAGTAGTGTGCTATTTATGTGTCACATTTTCTTCACACATATCTATGCAGAATTAAACAGTTTATCAAACATCATCCAAGGAGTCATAATGCACTAAAGGATGAAAGTTAAACATAATTATCCTTCTTCCCTCTGTACTGCCCCACAAAATGACCATCTCTGTGCAATTTCTTCCAACTAGTTTCCAGCTTAGCAAATAATCAAAGGCGTGGGTATGCAAGCCAATGGGACGATATTTCTAATATCTGTCCAAGCCATTAAAGCCAATATTCCAGAATGGTGTTACCTACTGAGAGAAAGAGAGAGACAATATATGGTGATATATATATATATATATATATATATTAGAATGTGAATAGTTCTATTTTCATTAAAAAAAGACGCAAACAGCGAAGGAAATTTTGGGAATCATCGGCAGTACACACCCACCACACCACACGGGTTCGAACTCAGGACCTTCCGGTTACAAGACAAGCTCGTATACCATTCAGCCACTGGAACCCAATTCAATGATCAGTCCATGAATTCTAACTTCTACCAATTCGTGATTTAGCTCGACCACCAAACAGTGTCGTCAGAGGGAAATCCATCCTCACACTTCATTGGATGGACTTCACTGGTCACGACTTCTCACTAGAACTCCAGGAAACTCCATCCTGTAGCAGGTCACTAGCCAGCATCAGATTATTTTTCAGAAAATTTTCTTCTCGACGATTTATTCATTTTCATAAGCTGCTGTACAATAATCTTAATTATATTTAACGAAGAATTCATAAGACGACCAATCAGATACTACTGGTAAAATTTGTCCTCGGAAAACGTACTAGGTAATGCGAGGTGTAACCTAGATGATGTGACTAACTGGAAGTTATAAAGGAGACAGAAATTAACGTGACATAATAATTGTGAGAAAATGACTAATCAGTATGTTTGTGTAGAATGGACAGGGACAAGTGGAAATGAAATCCATGAAAATGCAATGTTATTCACAAACAGTAATAGAGTGATACTAAAATGTGGATGATGGGAATAATAATGATAACAAAATAATAGTATTAATAACAATAATAATAGTAAACTTACATGATAAAAAAGAGACAAAATTATAGTAAAAACGTTACTCTGGCCACGATAGAGCGACTAAATGTATGTAACGCTTTTGAATGCAGAAGTTCAGTTTCAGATCCCGAATAGCCAATGATTCAGCTATGTACAGATGGCGTATGTGAAGTCACTTTGCACGATATTGAGGGACTGGGTGTAGCACTGTGAAGCATTCATGCAGGGTGGGGTGAAGGTGCTCGATGTCCAGAGTTGACAAGATGTTCAATGATGGAGCTGCTACCATTCTCTTTTTCTACTCTGGATAGCTAGCCAAGCTGTACAATGTTCCAGAATACGTTTGTGGACTTGACGTTGCTTACGGCCGATATACGTTATTCCACACGAACAAGTAAGTAAGCTGATAAATACACAGTGAGGTGACCAAAAGCGGTATTTTATCATTAACGTTTGACTGGATTAACTGTCTGTTGGAGAATGTGACATGTAAGGTAGCTGTTTGAAATGTCTTCTTGTGTGATATATATGTGTTATAATGTGTGAAATGTTTTATCGTTCTCATTTTTATTTCACTGAAAATATTACCGTTTATTACTCACAACACCTCGTTTGTTGTATATGCACATTATTTTTTCTCTTCCCAGAGATTGAGATGTGAGAAAGTATTCTTGTTTGGGAAATCTGATGTCGACTATATCACATCATTATCTCGTCTATTACAGTATGAGCATAATAAAGCTAGTCAAACTATAGTAAGTGATTTAAAGTTGAAATTGACTTACTTATTCGATGGATATGTGCACTTATTTATGACTTTGTTTGTATGTGAGTTCACCAGTTATTCGTGTTCCATTTCTGTTGGACTGTATGCAATGATGAGACTCAGAAATGTCTTTATCACAATCACATCAATATAAAAGATGTTCAAGGGAACCTGATTACCAAGAAGGGGGAACAAATAAAACAATCAATGCGCTGATCCCTTTAAAGAAATCTTGAATCGATCATCACCTGGAACTCGCCCAGAAATACCACTGAACTGCCTGCCAGTGGACAGCAATCCTCCAAAGAAAGCGGAAATACTGAGTGTGATCAAGCTAATGAAGTCGGTCGGAAAGGCAGCAGAACCAGATGGAATTCTCCCCGGAGTACTGAAAACGGAACCAAGGACTACGGTAGATATTCTCGCACCATTATCACAAAAGGTTTGGGAGGAAGGAAAGGTGCCTGCTGATTGGAAAATAGACTGGCTACCTTTTCAAGCTATGAAAGAAGGGCGACTAACGCCTCAGTGAGAACTGGCGTGGAATAATGCTCTTGTCCATTTCAAGTAAAATACTAAGTCGCATCATCATCCTGGATTTCCAACAGCCAGTTGCAGACTTTTACCAATAGTTGAAACCTTCTCTGGCTGGCTCCATACTGAAGAGAAAATGGCCAGTAGGCGGGCCAGAACGAATTGTCAATAAGAAACTCTTCAGTGGAACAAACCAACCAACAGGCAAGAGCCGATTTCTCAACAAGTGAATGTGTAGGAGAAAATGGAGATGGATTGATCGGGCATACGTTGAGGAGGCCGTCGAATGACATCGCGCGCCAGGCGCTAGAATGGAATCCCAATATGGAGTGAGAAATGGGTCATCAGTGCAAAGGTAACATGGAGGAGATGGTGTGGAGGGGAGGAGACGAGATATGGTCTGTCATGGATCAAGCCAACTGAAGAGGACAGCAGAAAGCAAGTTTTCATTACCCTCAAGTCTGTGTGGAGGTCAACACCACTCAGCGTGAAAAACAAGATCCGGATTTTCAACTCCAATGTGAAGTCAGTCAGTGCTACTATACGGATCAGAGACTTGGCCAGAGCGTCATAAAAAGCATCTCAAACAAACTACAGACCTTCATCCACAGCTGTCTTCACTCAATAGTACTCAAGTTCAGATCGCCGCCCAGAAAAGATCAGCAATAGGGAACTGTGGGGGCAAACCAACCGGGAACCGATTGTGAAACAAATAGGCAGGAAGAAATGGAGATGGATTGGCTGGCCATACTCTGAGGAAACCATCAAGTGACATCACTAGACAAGCCATTGCTCGAGTGGAACCCGAAAGGGCTGGGACGGCGGGTTGGTCGTCAGTGTGAGGGTGACTTGGAGGAGGTCATGTGAAGAAGAGATGAAAGCATGTGGGCAGACTTGGAGCCAGATTAAAACGTTGGCAGAGAACCGAACGTGCAATGGAGACGCGCGACTGAAGCCCTACGTTCCTCTAGGAATTAAAGGAGATAAAAAATAATAATAATATAATAATAATATATATGTATGCGATTGAACGGCTTGAGATAATAAATTCTCATTGAAGAAACCAGTCTGTTGGTGTTGTTTTCATTTTCTGTGTATAGTATAAAAAGCATAAAATTTCTGCATATAGGTTTTGTTTTTTTACTTTCATGTCAATAGAAAATCAAAGTTTTTGATTAGAAATTCTCATGAATTGTATTCACTTCTCTTCTTCTGTTTTTTCTGTTTTTTTTGTACTTTTCCGCCTTTAAAGCATTTAGTGCGAATATTCATTTTCAGTGGTCTATTTATCGGAACAAATGTTTACATTCATCATATTAGACCGCATCAAAGAAAAGTGAATTATTATAAAGTGCTTAAACAGTTGAGACCGTTAAGTGAAATGAAGACAAAACACTTACCACGTAAGTATGTCTACCTACATTTTTACACGTTTTCATCACTATAGTGTATAATATTTGCATAAGTTTCATTTGCTAGTTTTGCACCGAGTGAAGTATATAATGCTGTGACACCATCAAAGGACACCATTGCTCGATTGTTATCCACTGGAATGTTTTTTTTTATTTTCTCTAAAAATTGTACTGGCGAATTAGAAAAAAGAATTATATATATTATTATAATTGTTTCCTTTAATTCCTAGAGGGACATAGGGCTTCAGCCGTGCATCTCCATTGCGTTCACTTCTCTGCTACAGTCTTCACTTGGCTCCAAGTCTGCCCACATACTTTCATCTCCTCTTCACATGACCTCCTCCATGTCACTCTTGCACTGACGATCAACTCGCCGCTTCCCTTTCGGCCGGGTTCCACTCGAGCAATGGCTTGTCTAGTGATGTCACTTGATGGTTTCCTCAGAGTATGACCACCAATCCACCTCCGTTTCTTCCTGCATATTTGTTTCACAATCGGTTCCTGTTGTGTTGGTTCGCTCAATGCCAGAGATCCCTGTTTCTGATCTTTTCTGGCCGGCCATCTGATCTTGAGTAGTATTGAGCGAAGACAACTGTTAATGAAGGTCTGTAGTTTGTTTGAGATGCTCTTTATGACGCGCAGTGCAAGTCTCTGATCCGTATAGTAGAACTGACTGACTTCACATTGGAGTTAAAAATTCGGATCTTATTAGGTAAATTTTTATTTTTTCTGAAAAGTTATTCAGAACGAGATTCAGATTTTCAGCACCAATGTCAAGTTGCTCCTTCTATATATGGGTCAGAAAAGGATTTTCAACACACCATTACAGACTTTCTCAACAGCTGCCCTACTTCACTGCCCGGCTCCATACTGAAGATCAAATGGCCAGCTTGGAAGAATTAGTAACAAGAAACTCATCAGTGTAATAAACCAACCAAGAACATATCCCTCGACAAGTGGATGTGTAAAAGAAAATGGAGATGGACTGGGCATACATTGAGGAGGCCGTCGAATGACATCGTGCGCAATGCACAGCACCACTCAAGTGGAAGCGATGAGTGAGTCTTCAATGCGCAGGTGACATGGAGGAGATCGTGTGAAGAGGAAGAGGAGGAGGAAGAGATGAGAGATTGTGGTCAATCGTGGACCCAGGTGAAGAGGATGGCAGAAGATAGGACAAAGAAGAAAGATGTGTTGTTGAAGCTTTAAATTTCACTTAGAACCCAAGGGAATAATAATAAAAATAATATATAATAATAATAAGTTGATTCCCTACAATTAATTCCATTTTATATTCACACCAATAATAAGTCCTTCCACATATTTTTCTTTTTTATATAATCTATGTGTCATGTATATATACGTATGCATACATTAGCACTGGTACGAAAAGAAACTGAGAAAGTTCATGAATTTACAAGACATCCAAAATCTGTAAGCAATTACTAATATTACTGTTATTATTATTATTATTTCTGTTATTACTATCAATTAAATTGAAATCAAAATTCTTAATGTCTTTGACAAGTGCCACCATACTAGTACAGCAGTTCACTGCATTCCCCTTCATCATGACTGTGACATATGACCACTGAAGAGACACTTTCATTGGACACTAGTACTAACTAGTGTGATATGTCTAGTCGTTTGTTCAGTGCAGACGGAATTCTATCAGTGAGGCTTGCAACTTGGCCACCATGCCACTAGATGGCTGCCACTTTGAATTGTTGATGTTAGACGGTTGGTTGGAGGCAATCGGCCACAGGAAGCCTTCCCTGACCTAGGTTTCATGGTAGTTGGCACTCACCAGTCAGTCAGCAAGGCGTATCTGCAACCTTGAAGGAATAACCCATGTCCCTTCTGAGGTTCGAATCCACATCACCAGCCAATGACGCTTATGATCATGGATATGAAGACGAAGAGAAGGGATGTCCGCTTTGGCCAATGTAGTGTTTTTCGCAGTCGTTACAATTGATTTTCTAGATGATATTGGTTTTATTTTCTTTCTTTGTTGAGTCTTTTGGTTGTCACAGCCAATCAGCCGAGTTAAGTGATTTTGTTGGTTCGTGTGCGACATCAATTCCTAAGGGTTTGAAGAGTGATTTATTTCTGATATTTCGTCATTTATATATGGTAGGGTAATTTTTCCAGTGGTTCTCTAACCCATGTCAGCTCATGATGAAATCCTCCATACAATCAAACAAAATCCCTACCAAACCAATACTTGATAATTTTTTATGTTTTCTTTGGTGGGGAGTGGCTTTGGTTCTGTAGGTTGACCTGGGGTACATGTCTTTTGGTAAAATTCCGTGGATATATCAATTCTTTTCGAAGACGTCCATGAGATATCTTTCTTCAATTTTCCTTAAGGTGGGAGTGCTGCAATGAGTCCTGGCTGGCTGGCCCTCTTGAATAGTGTTTGTATACAACTCCTTTTGTGTGATATTGGATTGTTGCTGTTACAATTGAGTATTTGGTCTGTGTGAGTTGATTTTCTATAAACATGAGTTTCTAATTTTCCTGTGGTTGGTCGCTTGACTAAGACGTTGAAAAATGGGATTTTGTTCTCGGATTCCTCTTCTCTTGTGAATTTGATGTCGTTGAAGGCGCTGTTTATTAAGTTGGTTGGGTTTTGTCTAACTCGTTTCTTTTGATTAATACAAATGTGTCATCTACGTAACATATTCAAATTTTGGGTTTGATCTTTGGTAGGATTGTGTTTTCAAGTCTTTGCTCACTGCTTCTTCAATCAAACCTGAAATAGGCGATCCCATTGGTGTTCCTTTGACTTGTTCATATATTTGGCCGTCGGATTGGAAGTAAGTTCTTAAGCATAGGTTTATGCATTCCATCCAACTTGTGTGTTGCACTTTCGATTATTGTGGGAGGTGTTCGTCGTTGCTGAGTAGTAACTGCTCCATGGTCTCTTTTGCTAGTTTCTGTCCAATTGAGGCATCCAATGCTGTGACATCGAAGGATACCATTATTTCTTGATCGTCTATTTGAATGCCTCTAATTTTCTCCAGAAACTGGATAGGAGATTTGATGAAGTGATCTTCAGGAACCCGTTATGTGTTTCAATTTTCTGTATGGTTCTTCGGACGAATTGTATGTTGGGGTTCCTGGTGTTGTGAGGGCTATCTGCTGGCCAAATTGGTAGACCGCAGTTTACATCAATGTTTACGTCCCAAATCTTGGTTAAGAGAAAAAACGAGACAAAGCCTAACCTTGAGGAACTCAACAACCAATCACAGAAGACTTCGCGTGGGCAGATACGATTCTCAGATATATGGTCTGACCTTCAAAGAAACGGCCACAAAGAGATGACAGAAGAACTTTCAGCGAGAAAACAACCAATCAGGAGATGCTGTTTCTCTGCTAATAATAACGAATAACAATGTACTTAAAAATATCTAAATATCTCTTGATTTCCTCAATAAACGATCTGTTGCCTGGCCCTTGTCTTCTGTCGTTACACTGGGAGTGATACAATCGGTCGTAACAGGCGGGACATTTGGCTTGTGTATTTTTGAAGCTTTCATCAGTAACCTTCTGGTCATGATACTTAGTTTGAGTTGAAAGTCGCTGAAGGCGATACTTTAGAATATAATAATGAATTTAATTTAAAGTGCACGAGTCAAACTTCTTCAAACTGCAGAAGCAATGGTAATTCACTTTCTAAGCCCTGCACTCTGTATACAGAAGAAGTCTATTCAGTCGCTACACTTGCAATGGACGTAATCTATCTTAATACCCGACAGATAAATTCTACGTAATCTTTTCTTTTCTGTCTTCATTAGTATTATTTTGTCTTTACAATTGTAATATTTTACATTTTCAACTTTCGTCTTCTCTACCCCCACCCAATTTAATTTCTACACTTCATTTCCACTGTTACTCACTCGACTAACGCTCAATTTCTAGTCATTTATGTTACATCATCCAATTTGTTTGCTCAACTTCAGTCCTAATTTAAATGGCATTCTTCTCTACCCCCAACCCTCTACTTAGTCTCTACCTGTAATTACCTCTGTTGCTATCCTGACCTAGATTGAAATATTTTAGCCAATTATATTAAGTCATCTAACTGACTAACTCAATCTTACCTTAGTTGTTGTCTAATTAACCTTGTTTCTATATTAGATCATTCTTGTATTACCTGATTAATTATCTAAACTTGACAAACCTCATGTACACACACACAAAAGTTTTTTCCTTCACGTTCCTCAGTGGAACATGGGGCTTCAAGCTAGTGGCTTGAAGTTTCTGTCGCAGTATTTATTTTACAGGATGGGGTTGCTAGCCTCATGCCCAACCTTTCCTCTTCACCAGCATTATTTCTGGCTTATCGCAGTAAAGGAGTGCGTTAGCGGCCGGGGAGTGAACCCCGGACCCTGTGCACGATCGGTGAGCGTCCTAACCACTATACCACCGACGCACACGCACAAAACTAATTATATATAAATGTGACTGTACAGCTATGTGAATGAATTCCCCATCGAAAAGAGTCTCTTTGCTGAACGTCTTCTCTTTTTCATATGACTCAATGTGGATTTTTACGCTACTTGAATTTAATTCATTGATTTACGTGTTAGAAATCGAGTTCTTAAACTAAATGATTCGTAATCTCTCTATTCACTACATTACATCATACTTCAATTGCCTGAGAAACCTCACAGAATATCATTAACCCTTTAGTGTTTTAAATAATGATATTTAGGCTTGAGTCTCACTGGGAACATCACTCACTAGGGCGTGGTGGTGGTGAAAGCATGCACATCCAGATGAAGAGTCCCAAGTGGGCAGAAACGCACATTCTACATGTCACTGTTAGCCCCCATCAAACAGACATCTCTAACGCCTTAGTTTAATTTTTACTGCATACTAACTCAAAGTATGTAGCCAATTTTTAACAACGGTATATACTACTGATTGGTTGTAATGAGTGCAACAACAGAAGACAAGGGCCAGGCAACAGATCGTTTATTTAGGAAATCAACACGTATTTATATATTTTCATGTACCGCGTCGGTGGCATAGCGGTTAGGACGCTCGCCAACCATGCACATGGTCCGGGGTTCACTCCCCGGCCGCCGACGCACTCCTTTACCTCGCTAAGTCAGAAATAATGCTGGTGAAGAGCAAAGGTTGAGCGTGAGGCTGGCAACCCTATCCTGTAAAATAAACACTGCTACAGAAACTTCAAGCCACTAGCTTGAAGCCCTATGTTCCACTGGGGAACGTGAAGGAGAAAAAAAGTACATTATTATGGATTATTGTAAGCAAGCAAACACAGTCTTCTAATTGGTGGTTTCTCGCTGAACGTTAATCTTTCATTTCACTGTGGCCGTTTCTTGAAGTTCAGATTATCTATCTGCAAATTGTATCCACCTACGTAGAGTCTGCTGTGATTCGTTGTTGAGTCAGTCTTTGTTCATATTTTTCTCACAACCAATATTGGGGAAGTACACACTGACGTAAATTACTATCTACTAATTTTGGCTAGCAACCAGCTCTCACCACATGAGTAGTTGGCTGCCAATCACATCAACCAGTAGTAAAACTGGTCTAAACACCTGACGACCGTGTTTCGTAAATTGTGAACTGAAATACATATGGTTAGAGGATTTCATCATGAGCTGACATTGGTTAGAGAACCATATATATATAATTGAACTAATAATCCAACCCAATATTCTTTTCTTCTTGTGTTTATTTCAGAGTAATACAGTTGCATTTGTATACAATTTAACAAAAATTTATTTAACCGGTGCATTGTCATACGTTCGTCGACTTCTTCTCCTGTTTAATTCAAAAAATAGACCTATCCAACATGCTAAAGTAGCTATTGAAGGCGTTTCATTTATGGTAATTTCATGCAAATGCGTTTTGATTGTTATTCTTATTAGTATTACTAATTATTTCTTTTCTTATTCTAAACAATTAGCTATCAAATGATTTATATAGATAATTTTCTATGAGAGACTGATGAATATCCTTCAGGGTTTTGGTCTTTAGGCGGCGATTTTGATTTATTTCCAATTTCATTATAAGTAACCAAAATCAATTAGTGAATCTGTAAAGTATTTGACAATTGTTTCGTCCTAGTTTATGAGTCTTCATCAGTTCTCAGGCATTAGGGATGAAACCCGGGACGCCAAGGTTACGAGCTGAGCAAGTGGAACATAGGGCTTCAACAGCACATCTTCACTTTCTTATATTCTCTGCTATCCTCTTCAGTTGGCTGCCGCCACGATTGCCTATAATCTTTCATCTCCTCCTGCGAACACAACCTCTGCCATGTCAATCTTGCGCTAATGACTCACTCGTCACTTTCCATTTGGGTTCCACTCGAGTGATGGCCTGCACTGCGCGCAATGTCATTCGATGACCTCCTCAAAGTATGCCCGATCCATCTCCATTTTCTCTTACACATCCACTTGTTAAGCGGTCGGCTCTTGCCTGTTGGTTTGTTCCCAGCCAAAGTTTCTTGTAACTAATTCTTTCTGGTCGGCCGACTACCTGGCCATTTGATCTTCAGTATTGAGCCAATAAAGCCGGCAGCTGTTGATAAAAGTTTGCAAGGGCCTGTTGGAAATGCTCATCGTAACGCTATCGCCAAGTTCTGACCCATATAGAAGGACTCACTTTACATTCGTGTTGAACAGAATCCGAATCTTGTTGTTTATGCTGGCTAAGTGCAGAAGATTTCCTAACTGGTTTCAGATTGATGAAGGTGTATTTTGCCCTTCCGATTCTGTCCCACTTTGACATCCGACTGCCTGTGTTTAAACTGTGCTTTCCGGCCAGATAAGTGAAGGAAGTAACCTCTGTTAAATCTCTCCCGTTGATTGTGATTGGTACTGGTTTTCGTTGCATTTGGTTGGTTGGTTGATTATCTTCATCACTTTCACCTTCACCTAGAGTCCTGTCTTCTCTGCCAGCCTCTTCAGCAAATATTTTGGTTTTCGCCTGCAATTCTTCGAGTGTGTGTGATGTTAAACATAAATCATCCATGCAAGAATTACAAATCTTCTAGAGCTGAGCAGAATGACCACATTATTGTAGAAGTTTTTGTATTTCCCAATGCATGAAATACAGCAAAACGACAATGTTGTTTTTACTGACGTTTCGTTATTTAATGCTGATGCTAATAGCTTTATCAGAGTAGTCATATTAAACCAGAATTTACAAAATCTCAGCTTATATATAAAAGCTTAATCATCGTTCATCAGCATGGGGTGATTTTTTGTTGTTGTCAAGTTGGTCAATTGGTGAAGATAACAGAACCAGGTGTAGATTGTTGGACTTGATAAGTATGTAAAATTATAAAAGCAGCGTGTGCTTACATAATGAAATTGCTTATCACATTCATGTTGATTTTGCTATTTCATGGGGGAGGGGAGTGGTGTAACCTGGTCAAATTCTGTTTTATTTCATCATTCCTATTCAGACATTTCGTATTCCATTTAATATGTGAAGTTCTTCTGATATTAGACGTTCTTTGTGATTTATGAAATTTTCTGGATTATTTCAATATTGTCAAAATCAATTTTGTGGCCTGATTCTTTAGCGTGTAGACCACCTGTGGATGCTGATTTTTCAAGCTTTCCTAGTTCAACCGGATTTCTTGGTGGTCGAATAGACGCTGTACGGTATTTATTTCTTCCGATTTTGATTTCTCGCGATGTTTGTCCGATGTATATGGTATCACACTTCAAGCAAACATTTTAATTTGTAGACACAATTAGATTGAGAATCCCAAGGGATTCGGTTTCCTACATAGACAAGATTGCTTTATAGTTTGTGTGGTGTTTTAAAGAAAACTCCGATGTTGTGCTTATTGGGTACTCTTTGAAGTTGTCTGACGTTTCTGATCTATATGGAATGACAACTTTTGAGGTTCATATCTTCGGAATACATTTTCGAACATATTTAATGTCAATGCTGATTTTGTTGATGAAGTTCCTTGGGTAGTTATTTCGCTTAAGAGCCTCATTAATGTTTGACATTTCCTCTTCTTTTTCTGTCTCATCCATGTAACATCAAAGAGTGTGCTTGTCTAAGAAGACTTGAAACAACTGTTACCTTTGAGCTGAAGGGGTGTGACGATCCGAAGTTCAAATAATTGTCGGAGTTGGTAAATATGTAGATATATCGAAATATCCGTTTCCCTCCTTTTAACTAAGCAGTCTAGAAATGATAGTTCACCAAAGTCTGATTCTGCTTCCGAAGTAAACTGAATTCTGTAAGATAGAATGTTTAGTTTCTCCAAGAATGAATTGTGTAGATCTCCTTTTAGCCCAATAAAAGTATCACCAAAATTTCTCAGTCATATTTTAGAAGTGAGTATGCTTGAAAAGATGTTATCTTCAAATCTACTCAGCGACTATTGGGGGAACTGGTGAACCCATAGCAACACCATTAGTCTGTCTGTCTAGATAAATTCCCTTTGAATGTAAAATAATTACCTTCTAGACAGAATTTTAAGCTCCTAACTATTTCACTGGTGTCCAGTGGACATCTTTGTGATAGCTTTGTATCTGATTCTAGTAGACTGGAAATGATATCAAGACTTTCGGTAATAGGGATAGTAGTATATAATGAGTTAATATCATAGCTTTCCATAATATCTTCGTCATCGATTTCTTGGATTTCAAATCATGTGTCCACATCTTTACCAATCATTGGAGTATTTGAAGTATTTTTGAAAAATATGTCGAAGGGAAATCAATAGTCGATCATGAGTCATTGGGTGATTTTTAGTTGATCATTCTAATTGGAAGTAGTGATCTTTCGATGAAGTTGCATGGATATTTTGGTTCTTCTGGAAGACAGTCATAAAGTATTTCTTCTTCATTCTCTTCACTGCATAAATGTCTCACTGTATTCTGTCTCTTTTGAATATCATTCATTCATATGACAACTGAGTATCACTCACAATGTTTACAGTGAAGTGATCACTTAATAATCAGAAGAGTCTTGCAGATCAACTGATTGAAAAACCAGCAAATAGTCCTGACGTCACTTATTCTAAACTGTGCTGTGATCTCGACTTCCATTTTACCACCAATAATCAGCCATTGCTATCTGATAGTAGTTTGCTGATCTAAGGGACTGTACTAAGCATAAGGAACAAGATTCTGATTTGCAATACTATACGTCAGGTTAACTAGTCATTCTAAATGGTGTTTCTAGGCTGCCTTCGCTTCATGCTGAAGATCACTCGGGAACAAGAAATTCTGATATGCAGTGAACTAACCAAGAACTTGTTATTATTGTTGCCTTTAGTTCCTAGAGGAATATAGGGCTTCAGCCGCACGTCTCCATTGCACGTTCGGTTCTCTGCCAACGTTTTCACCTGGCTTCACATCTGCCCACATGCTCCATGTCACCCTCGCACTGACGACCAACTGACTCGCCGCTTCCCATTCGGCTACGTTCCCCTCGAGCGACGACCTGGCGTATGATGTCACTTGATGGTTTGTTCTCTCACAGTATGGTCAGTCCAGTCCACCTCCATTTCTTCCTGCATATTTGTTGCACAATCGGTTCCCACTGGGTCGGTTCGTTCGCAGAGATCCCTGTTGCTGATCTTTTCTAGCCAGCCATCTGATCTTGAGCAAAGACAGATGGTAATGAAGGTCTGTAGTTTGTTCGAAGTGCCCGTCATGATGTGGCGTGGCGCCAATTCTCTGATCCATATAGTAGAACTTACCGACTTCACATTGGAGTTGAAAATCCGGATCTTATTTTTCATGTTGAGTGCTGTTGACCTCCACACAGACTTGAGAGAAATTAAAGCTTGCCTTGATTTCACGATGACCCTCGCTTTGATATTCTCATCACTTCCGCCTGTAGTTGAAACGGTGCTTCCCGGATTGGTAGTTGAAGGATGTTGCTTCTTTCAGGTTCCTCCTATTTATGCTGATTGTTGTCTGTTTTAGTTGCTGTGGCTGTTGCTGTTGGCCAGAAATCGTCATCACCTCTGTTTTCTCTATGTTCACGTCAAGACCTATATTTGATGCTTCTTTTGCCAACTTGTTGCTTTTCACTTGCATATCTTCCAGTTTGTGCCAATCAGACATATATCACAGGCGAAGTCCACATCATCCAAGTATTTTGTGTGTATCCATTTTATGCTTATTTCGTCCTTACCCGCCGCTGTCTGTGGCATTATCCAATCTACTGCAATCAGGAAAATCATTGGCGATAGTAAGCAGCCTTGTCTTACTCCTGTCCTCACTTCGAAGGATTCCGTAAGTTTCCCGTTGTGGATTACTTGGCATGCAGCATTGTCGTACGGCTGTTGGATGAGATGTATAATTGTTGGCGGCACCAGATCAAAAGAAGTGCAGAGAACAAAATGAAATTCAGATGTACTATTGAAGTTCCATGTACCGCTTGGAACTTAAAGTGACAATAAAAGTAATAATAATAATAATAATAATAATAATAATGATCTAAAGGATATCGCATAGAGTTTTACTGTTAGCGAATTATACTCATATAAACTCTTTCATTAATCTGTATATTAAACCTTAATTATGTATTATTGTTATTATTCTTATTCAGGTTGGACATGGCGAAATGTTTGGTATACTCGGTCCAAGTGGTGCTGGAAAATCAACCTTACTCGAATGTCTATCAAGTATAATAAATCAAACATTCGGTGAAGTAAGCTGTTTATTTTTTACTTTATAATTTGATATTTTATCTATCCTAAATGGTGATATTTCTTCTTTTTCATGGTCATTGAAAGTGGAAGACATGAAAAGCCTAGCTGGCTAGCTAACTGAGCTGTCTTTGATAACATAAGTGTCTGCATTCTATTTACATCCTGTGTTAAGTGGTATTATAAAGTGAACAATATTAAGGTGAGGCATCTGTCGAGTACTAAGTAAGTGGGGGGAATCAATCGACGAGGTTGTGAAATTATACTGATTGAGATGGTTAGGACATGCGTTACAAATGTCTAGGCATCGCCTTCCTCGACGATGGGTTATGTTAGCTGACATAGGATCAGATTGTTGGGAAAGAGCGAGCACATGGCGGTATCAGCCAATGAAGTCTTTAACAGTTAGTTTAAGCCATGTAAGGAGGTGTAAAATTCTTAACTGCCTGGTTGGGGTCCTCGGGATAGTAAGAACAAATGATGGCTGGAGACAATTTTTGGTGATAACACTCAAATTCGTTGTCAATGACTAAGGCAGCTGCATCCACTTTTTGCGATTTATAATATATCCAATAAAACTCGATTGTTCTTCCATATTACTATTCTTTTTGCCTTATATTTCTGTTTATTATCTCTCTGTCTTTTGAATCTCTCTTTACTCTCCTCTCCCACTTTTTGTGCTACATGGAGAGAGAGTAGAGACTCGAACTGGTGCGCATCTGTGCAAAGTTCTATCTACGTTGAAACCAGTCAGTCAGTCAGTATTTCTTCCTAATTGTTATTCTGATTTTGATGTTAGTTGGTTGAAGGGAAAAAGCAGGTGATCCTGAATCTAAATTTTATCCCTACTGGCACTCTTCAACAGGGCATGTTTGTAACCTTGACAGAATCCGTCTCCTTCATTGGCTGGTGCCAGTCGTACTATGTCGTGAATTGGTAGAAGTTGAAATTTGTGAGCCATTTAGTTAGACCCTCTGTGACTGAATGTTCTACGAGATTTCCTTGTAACCGGAAGGTCCTGGATTCGATCGTGCCGATTAGTCTTTAACTAGAAACGTGGTAGCTATCCAGCACTCCCTGTTGGTTTTCAGCTGTTTACCAATGATCAAAATCTTGAAATATTTAAATTGGACGAAATATTCCCTTGTGTATTGAATCATAAGAAGAAGACATAAACAGCGAAGAAAATTTTCTTTTCGACGACTCATTTTCATAAGATGCTGTAAAATAATTGCAGTTATTAGATGGTTGGAGGTAACTGGCAGGAAGTCTTGGACCTAGGTTTCGAGCTAGTTGGCACTCATCAGCAAGGCGTATCTGCAACCTTGAAGGAACAGCTCATGTCCCTTCTGAGATTCGAACCTGCGTCACCCAGTGCTGCAGTCAGAGACGTCACCACTGAGCTGTTCGGGCTCGCGATTGACCTCCTGTAGGACTGTATTGGATATTTTTGATTGAATACTAGTCAGTAACTAGTGTAACGTGTGTGCGTGCAAACATGACTGATAGAATTCAGTCTGCACCGAAGATAGGACTAGACACATTACACTAGTTACTGACTAGTGTGCAATCAAAAATTGCAGTTATATTTAACAAAGAAATCTTTAGACCAATCAGATACTGGTAGACTTTATCCTCAGAAAACGTATTACCTAATGTAAGCTGTAACCTGAAAAAGGTAACTAATTGTAAGTTAGAAAGGAGGCAGAAGTTATCATGACAAAATAAGTGTGAGATAACGGTCAATCAACAAGCTCGTGTAGAATGGACCGGAACAAGTGGAAAGACGGTAAAGTGTTTTTATATAAAGTCTGTATGAAAATACAATGTTGTTAATAAACAATAATAGAGTGATAATAAAATATGCATGATGGGAATAATAATGATAACAAAATAATAATAATAAACTTAATAAAAAGAAACAAAATTATAGTAAGAACGTTATTCTGGCCACGGTAGGGTGAGTGAATATATGCAGTGCTTTTGAATGCAGAGGTCCGGTTTCAGATCCCGAATATCCAATGATTCAGCTATGTACAGATGGTGTCTGCGAAGTCCCTTCGTATGATATTGAGAGACTCTGTGTGGCACTGTGAAGCATTCATGCACAGTGGCGCGGGAGGTTGCTCGATGTCCAGATTTGTTGACAAGGTGTTCGAGGATAGAGCTGCTACTATTCTTCTTTTCTCTTCTGGCTAGCTAACCAAGTTGGAAAATGTTCCAGAATACGTTTGTGGGCTTGACGTTGCGCACGGCAGATATACCTTGATTTTTTTCTCCTTGCCTTATTTTTTCAATTTCTATAGGTTGGTGTAATTAATCCAAAGATTGGTAAACTTGTACCGAATTCAGTTGCTGTTAAAAATGGTCTAATCGGTTTCTGTCCACAGTATAATCCAATTTGGCCACAGTTAACAGTTAGAGAACATTTTGTCATTTATTCTGTAATGCGTAATGTTAATAAACGTATATTAAAACAACATGTCAACTCGTAAGTGGTGCTTTATATTCCCTTGCTCTTTTGTGTTTCGTAAAAATTCAGTTTGTTGAAGTATTTCTGTAACAGAAGGACAATTAGTGTTGCTTGACCATACAGCCCAGGGTACAACTTCTTGAGTCCAACCACACATGGCCTATTTGAAGTGCTGTGTAGAATTATGTTCGTATTGGTAAATTACTACGGCTATGGATCGCCTTAGGGTAAGTCGGGATGTACAATCTTTGGGGTCAACTTCTTCTAACCCCAATCCCCTCCAAAATGGACAGAAAACATATTTGGCATGCTGGTTATCTGAGGGAAAAGTTACCTTACTGCTGTTACATTCCTGTTCCCCAGCAATACACTTTTGCCCCCATATCCTTTTTACTATTATTACCTTGGGTTCCAAGTAGAACATGGGGCTTCAACAACAAATCTCTACTTTGTTGTATTCTCTGCCTCCTCTTCAGCTGGGTCCACGATTGACCATAAACTCTCATCACCTCTTCTCACGATCTCTTCCGTGTCACCCTCACACTGACCACCCACTCGTCGCTTCCCATTAGGATTCCACTCGAGTGATTGTTTGCATTGCGCCAGATGTCATTTGACGGTTTCCTCAGTGTATGCCCGGTCAGTCCATCGCTATTTTCTCCTACATATTTGTTGAACAATCGGCTCTTGCCTGTTGGTTGGTTTGTTCCCAGCCAGAGTTTCTTTTTGCTAATTATTTCTGGCCGGCAATTTGATTTTCGGTATGGAGCCAGCGAAATTGGCAGTTGTTGATGAAAGTATACGGTAGCCTGTTGGAAATCCTTTCTGTTACACGCCAAGTTTCCCCCAGATCCTTAGCTTAATGTAAACATCTTACAATATACCAGTAACTGTTTTTAGTGTAACCGCTATCCTAACAACATTTTTGGCATGGTAGGACCTGCAGGAACATTAGTTTTAGTCATTATAGCTCATTGGGTCATTTCCATATGCAAGGCTGACCACCTCCAAGTCAAGTTAGCAGGTGTCATTCAAGTCTTACAAGAAAAGAGAAATATAATCATCAATGAATACTAGGAGTTAAAGTAATAATAATAATAATAATTTGCTTTATTCCAGAAACAGTACTAGTGGTACAGTGTGGAATTTTCAGCACATATCTACAATATTTGCATCTAATTTTACCGACATTTAAAATAAGTATTAAACAAACCAAAAAAATAAATCGGAAGACACCAACGGCAAAAAAACAGGATAAACACCAAATAATTATAAATGCGAAAAAGTACAAAAGTCTACCAAAGTCTAATGCAGTGTTTGTGGTGGTAGTGTGAGTAATCCTGAATAATACAAAATTTTTTAAGGTGGTGACTATGGCGTTCACAAACAATGATTGTCAGTTTAATATTGCCGAAAAGTATAGAAAATAAGAAAAAACAACCACAAAACTAATAATTACATGATGGTTAATGACAGGACAATTTTGTTATACTCATAGTGCTAATAGAGTCGGAACCAGTAAATACACAAAAGAAGGAATACTGTAAAGTACAAAAAAGGAAGCCAATATTAATATTTTAGGTAGCTAAGTATGTTTAAGAAGGAGTTCACTAAAGAATACGAAATAAGAGAGAAATAAAAGAGTATGAAATTATGTTGTTAATAACAAAGCAAGTCACAGGTTTCACGCCTAACATTGTCTCTGTCGCTTAGAACACGGGCCAAGTATGGTATCGTTGAGTTCCTGTACTTGGTTGTACGAGCATAGATTCTTTTATACTGATTTCTGGTTTTACTTGATGAGATACAAGGAGAGAGTTGGGAATAGAGGGGGTGTTGGGGGTCTGAGAGTATGGCTTTAGACCATTTTTCACATGTATTCAGATGCCTATCGACTAAAGTAGTCACGAGCTGACTGAGATTAACACCACTAGTCCTACTAACTACTGTCAACATCCTTCTCAGGATGGAATAGTCCTTTTTCAGTAGACCAGGAAAGACTAACGGGGAGCAGTAAAGTAGAATAGGTAGGATACAAGAGTTGACAAATTGTGAGAGTAGAGGTTTGGTGATTCCGGATTGTCTAAGTTTCTTAAAGTAGTAGGTAAGACAGAACACTTTCCTAGAAATCATTAGGATATGAGATGTCCAAGTAAGGTCAGAAGATAGAACTAGACCGAGGTATTTTGCATTAGACTTAGTTTCAATTTTAGTCCCCTCAGTGCAACAGTCTTCATGAGAACTTACTAGTGTTTGTAGATCTCGTTTATGCCTAGGGGAGAAGTCGACAGTCTGGCATTTTGAGGGATTCAGCATGAGACCATTTAGTTTGGACCACTCACTGATGTCCGACAGGAAGCTATTTAATTTGAGACAGTCTGACTGAGACTTAATGGAAAACGATACAGACAGGTCATCTGCATATTTGACGAAGTTGACTTCATCTGAGAGAGGTAAATCATGTAAGAAGAAGGAAAAGAGAAACGGAGAAAGAACAGCACCCTGAGGAACTCCAGCTTCAGTAAGCAATGGAGAGGAAGATGCACCTTTATATACCGTGTACTGCATCCTATTAGAGAAGTAAGAGTGCAGCCAGTTGATAACCCAGGGCTCAGTTTGTGCTAGGCTAAGCTTGTTTAACAATAGGCCTCTAGGTACAGAGTCGAAAGCAGATGTATAGTCAAGGAACGTACAACGGACAAACTTGGCCCCTTTGTCTAAGGAGGATACAATGTTGTGATGAAACACAGCAGCAGCGTCCAAAGTACTTTTACCCTGTTTGTAAGCAAACTGCTTTGGATCGTTTGAGAAGCTTAGAGAGGGAAAAAGTTTTAGTAACAATAGTTTCTCCATTAGTTTCAAAAAAGGAGAGGTTATAGCGATAGGTCTGAACTTAGCATTATTACCAGAGCCTGACTTAGGTACAGGGATGATTTTAATATCTTTCCACAGAGAAGGTACAACATTATTAGAAAAAGAAGTGTTAAAAATGTTTGTAAGTGGGTTGCTTAAAATATCAGCACATTTCCTAAGGACAATGGCAGGTATACCATCAAGACCTAGACTCTGGGAAGGTTTAAGAGATTTTAAACATTTAAGAACATCAGAAGTTTTAAAACTATTAAAGTCACTGGTCATGTTATTTGTTACATTGAAGCTAGAAGGTACATTGGGAAGGCGGATAAAAGATCTATTAAGAGTATTTACAACAATAGAGGGAGAACAAGAACTATGCTTACCACAACCTGTAATTTCTTTGAAAAGCTTCCACATGTTCCCAGGAGTTTTACATGACAAAATTCTTTGATTATAAATATTGTTTAACCTCTTGATTTCGGATTTGATTTGGATGTTTATTCTCCTAAGACCAGCTTTATCCTTGGCCTTGTACAGTCTCTCTTTTTCTCTTCGAAGCTTTTTGAGATGAGGAGAAGAGAAACGATCTATTCTTTTGAAAAGTATCTGTTTAGGGCAGCATACATCAAGGCAGAATTTAAGATAGTCAGTCAGATTGGAAATAGTATCATCCAGAGTGTGTTCAGTGAAAAGTTCCCAGTTTGTGTCATTTAGCATACATCTTAGTTTGAGCACGTTTTCTTGTGAGTAACATCTTTGTTGTGTTTTCCTGGAGAGATTCGAGAGGATATTAGAGTGATATCTGCTATATATCTTGGGTAATATCCGAATAATACAATGATCAGAGTTCATTATAGGAGCACGTCTGCGTGCTTCATATATTTCCGCATCATTAGTAAATACTAGATCCAGAGTTTTATCAAGTCGAGTTGGAAATTTGACAATGTTGACATGACCTAATGATTCAAGAAAAGAACAGTCACAGGTATTGAAATCTCCAGTGACAACTGATAAAGAGTTTTCAAGATGTGTAACCGCGAATGCTGTGAATTCATCGGCAAAATGAGATAGATCCGAGGCGGAACATCCAGGAGTAACATAAATGTTTGAGATGAAGACGTATTTAAACTTGGATAGGTGTTTCGGACGACATTTGACTGTAATACAATCAATAAAGTCACTAGAGAAAGAAAAACATACATTATTTGAAGTTGACCACTGAGAATGAATGAAGGTTGCGACTCCACCACCTCTTTTCTTTCTAGAGCATATTCGATCTTGTCTAAACAATGTGAAACCATTTAGAGAAACCAGGTTGTCGTCATAAAGATCATGGAGCCATGTTTCTTGTAATGTGACTATCGCAGTATTGTGATAAGTATCAGATGATAAGAGAGACTGGAGATGCATAAGTTTGTTGGGAAGTGAACGGCAGTTTGAACTGACAATAACAGGAATAGTTGTGCGATATAATGGTGTCCGTTTGAGAGCGCGTTGCCAACCACCATGATGTTTTCTCTTAGTTTTATTAGATGCATGAAAGTCATATGGTTTAAAACATTTAATGAATTCATTACTGTATTTGATACGATTTGTGACCATATTTTGTTAAAATTAAAAATGGAAACATGATGTATTAGATGCAAATATGTAGATGTACAGAAAGGTAGCCCAGATGTCAAGAAGTAATTGAATTGAAGATGCAACGACGATCTGGATCTTAGAGTGGGACTCGAACTAATGGGCCTCCAAACTACTACAGTGGCACTCACTCTACACCAGCTGACCTATGAAATCCAACTGCTGAACCATATCATCCATCATTTCACTGAGATCATCACCACAACGGATTGTGCTTTGCTGTCATGAGAATCAATGATACATTATTATTATTATTTTCCTTTGGATCCCTAATGGATTATATAGCTTGAAAAGCACATTTATATTTCATCCTGTTGTCTGGGGTTATTTCTAGCCGGCGTCACGATTACCCACAAGTTTTCATCTCCTCCTCCTTCACCATGTCACCTTGTGGCTCACAACCAACTCATCGTTTTGTGGTGAGAGCTGGCTGCCAACAAGCCAAAATTGTAGAAAACAATTTACGTCAATGTTTACGTCTCGAATCGGGGTCACGAGAAAATAAACGAGAACAAAGCCTAACCTTGAGAAACTCGACAACCAGTCATAGAAGACTTTGTGTGTGCAGATATGATTCGCAAGTATAGGGGTAACTTTGTAAGCAACGGTCACAAGCGGTACAGAATAACCTTCAGCAAGAAAACAACCAGTCAGAAGATGTTGCTTCTCCGCTAACATAACGAATAATAATGTACATAAAAATCTACAAATATCTGTTGATTTGCTCAATAAACCATCTGTTGCCTGACTCTTGCATTCTGTCATTACAGTTTCACCAACCAACCAACAAACTACTGCCCTAAAAATATACTTAAGAAAATCGAAGAAACCGTTGAATAACATCACACGCAATGCAAGCCCTCGAGTGGAACTCGAATGTGAGACGACTAATATGACATCAGAAAGTGACGAGAAGATGAAAGCAGATGTGCAGTCATGGAGCCAGCTACAAAAGGCAACAGAGAATAGAGCAAAATGAAAATACGCTATTGAAGCCCTATGTTCCACTCAAAACCCAAGGGAATCATGGTGTAATGATTCTTCTCAGGACAGAAGTGTCTTGCATCCTCTTAAATAATGTTTGAATCTGCAACTCTGAAACCCTGGAAGAAGAACTACACTTCCTGAAAGAAATCTTCATACAAAACGGTTATCCACCAAGATTCATAGACAAAAACATCAAACAGAAGATGCAAAAGCAAGAGACGCCATCCATGCTAAAAAAGATACTTTATATGAATCTCGACTTCAGAAGTGACCTACTCAGTGATGTTCTTAGGAGGAGAATTTCCACTTCTTTAAGAAGAACTTTCTTTGCGGCAACATTAAGAGTAGTGTTCTCCGGTCGCCCGCTGATCTGCAGAAGCCCAAAGGATAAGATCTCACACCTGACCACTTCTATGTGTATATATCAGTTCACCTGTTACTGTGGAGCTAGGTACATCGGTCGTTCGACGCGCATCCTGTCAAAAGAAGTCAGAGAACACTATCCAGCGTGACTGCTGAGAGGAAGTAGTGGCCGTATAAGGAGTGCAATAATCGAACATCTCGTCACCCACCACTGGTCATTCCTTCTCAACAAACGCCTCCTGCTTCAAAGTAATCTACAAAGTGAAGAACAACCCGCCTACGTTTCCGTCTTCTTTGCATTGCAGAAGCTCTAGCCATTCAGTTAGAAGAACCAGAACTATGTATACGAAAGAAAATTATTCAACCACTTCTACTATCATGGCAGCAACTCTGTTGATTTGAATAAACTTTTGTTTCTATGCTTATTTTTTCTAACTACTTAAAACTCTTGCATAATTCCGTATGTTATTTTATTTTCATGTACACCCTGAGCACAACTCTTTCTTTCATCAAACTGTTCATGTTAAATTACATAACTCTTCTTTAACAATCGTTTGTGACAACTCATCACTTTTGTTACTACCTACTCTCTTATATCAACATCCAATCCATCTGAACTTACTAATTGTATTTTCGTTTGACAAATTTAATGTACACATACACACACATACAAACGGAACCATATATATTTGCGATTGTACAGCTGAGTGATGAATGAATTCGCCGTCGAAAAGAGACTCTTCGCCAAACTGCTACTGGTCTTCTGTCTAATAATGTTTTTACACAGTGTGGACAGTGACTACCTACTTTAGCTTGGTATTTTGCTTAGAGTTGTACACTGACAGAAGAGTTAAGAATCTAGTTAAGTCTAGTTATGACTATTGCAATTATCAATGCACCAAAAATGGTTTGCTTGCCTCATTTAGACTCTTTTCAACGTAAATTATGTTTCTTTATTCATTAATGGAGAAGGACATGTTTTGATTATGTAATCTTTTTATTATTTTCTTTTTCTACTTGTTTATGTATTTGTCAGCATCTTGATGTTAGTTGGCCTGGTTAAATACAGTAATACAATTTCAGGATCACTATCTGGAGGATGCAAACGTCGGGTAAGAAGCATTCGGATGTAGTATTTATGTGTCTGTGCGTGTGTATGTTAGTCGTCAGTTATTGAAATTTGTCACTTTAAAACCAAAAATAAAGCATACAGGCCAAGTTGAACTTTAAGCACCACTAACTACTAGTGGGGCGCGACCGCACCAATGACCTTGAAACGTTCACTGAACAAGTTAGTGAAACCTGGCACAGAATGTTGTCATCATCAATAAAATATGCTCATCGGAGTGTTATGCTATTAAATGGGATATCTAGCAAGTTCCAGGTTAGGTTTGGGAAAGATTAAGTTACTCTTTAAGCCAAGGACAAGTTAGGGTTAGGTTAGCCTAATAAAGGCGAAATTAGGGTTGATTCGAGTTAGATTACAGTTAGTTTAGGGATAATTTCGCTTTAGGGTTAGGTTCAGGAAAGATTAAGGTTATTGTTAGAGTTAGAAGACCTAAATAATTACATGCATAAATTGTGGTTAAATTACTCTGTTAAAACAAGAATAGAACCTGTTCACTGTGGTAGAGTATAATTCACTTGTGGGTAAAATTTATTTTGATAAAGTCTCATAGTGTTATACAGTAATATTTACTGATGACCACGTTTCGAGCACAATTTATTGCTCAGGAAATATTACCGTAATACACTATTAGACTTTATCAAAATAAATTTTACCTACAATGGAATTATACTCTGTTGATTCTGCAACCTGAAACTGAGAGCTACTTTTATCACATGTAAAAGGAAGGTATCCTCTGTAACACTTTTCCACAGTTTTTTATGCATTATTTCATAAATATATGTACTCCATAGACAAAAATGCCTCACATGATTGGTGCGTTCGAGGTCATTCGGTGATTGGTAGTTAGTTAGTGGTGCTTAAAGTTTAACTTTGCCTGCATACATGATAAATGCTTCAATTCCATTTGGCCTCTTAAATATATTAGGTAATGATAATCAGGAAATTAGAGGCAAGACAAGGAAAAATGTCTTTCTGGTGACTTTTTTCCCTCAATTTTAATTGGTGGACGGTGACTAGCAGTGGAATCCATATATATATATATATATAATCAAAACTAGCTCTTTTAAAAGAATGGCTACCGAACAGAGAATACTCTTTTCAGTAACCCCTTCATCGTCAGGCTGTACAGTTATATATACCTTATAGTGAATGAATTAATTAGTGTTATGAACAACATTAATGTTGTTTAAATAACATCGAATCAATAATGATAATAGTATCAAGGGATTACAGTTCGATAGCAGCATAACAACACACACTGAATATCAGAAAAATTAGGAAAAATAATAATAATAGTACAAATTCATGAATTTATTGTCTCCACTGAAGGCCAGCCAAGGCAGTAGTAGTGGCTGGCTGGACTTCCTTCTTCTATATACAAAACACTGGTTGTTTCAAACGAATTGCGAGAACCTCTGCTGTTTGGAACATACGGTGCTTCGATGTTTTCGGCAATTTATTTGGTACCCGGTAGATGATGATGGAGAAGGATTTGTCAATGGTGGTTTTGTGGCCGGTTTGCACCAGATGGTCTAATACCGAACTGTTGATGGTTTTCACTACACATTTACTTAGCCATACTGGGAGACGTTCTCGAGTGAGGACGAAAAATCAAGTTCCTAAAGCAACGGCCGATATAACTCGCTCTACAAGCGTAGTTGAATTGGCAGATACATTTGGAAGTCGCTAGTCTAGGTACTTCATCTTTCAATCGAGGAATTACCATCGGTCGTGTAGAGAATGAGGTGTATTTCGCCAGCATTAAGAGTTCTTTGAACTGATTTTCTTAATTTCTTCGTAATTATTTTGCTAGGTATATCGCCCTTGAATTACAGTCGTATGTATGAAGGCTTCTTGTTTACGGATAGCGAGTGCATAGTCCTTTTCCACTTTCTTTGTCATGTGTTTCTTGATAAATTTGTTGGGATAGTTATTTCCAATCAAGGTATCATATACAATGCTTAATTCATCTCCAATTACTTCTTCTGAGCATAGAGCTTTAACAGTGCGGCTGAGGGTCTTTACTAAATTCCTCTTGTAGTGCAGAGGAACGAAGCTATGAAAATGTGTATATTGTCCAGTCCATGTGCTTTTTCTACGCGAAATTCTCTTCATACTACCATCTGGTTTTCTTGCAACAAAGACATCCAGGAAGGCAATTCTGTTTTGGGATTCCTCTTCGCACGTGAATTTCATAGCAGAATGTACTTCGTTGAATTCAGCTATTATCATGTTCCTATCCGAATTGCATTAGCACAAAGAATAAAAGTGTCATCCATATATCGGCAATAAAATGGGAATTTTCTGATAAGGTGGTTGTCCAGAGGTCCATTTTCTAGTTTACTTAAAAAGAAATCTACCAAAATGGGACCCAATAGAAGATTGATCCGTAACTGAATTCCTACTTAGAGAACTCCGTGGGAACCTAGCAGTACTGGACATCTGTTTCGCGCTTGTTTATGACTCTTCAGCATCATCAACCGATGATCTAGTGGCTAAATAATCAGTGAGCTCGCCGTGTAACCTGAAGGTCCTGGGTTCAATCCTTAGCGGTATATTCATGGGTGAGTACTGATGAAGAGTCCTAGACAAGAATGAACCACCTGTCCAGTATTCTTTGATTGTCCAGTTATTCTACGACTGAAGTCAAATCCCTGCAAACCAACACAACTATTTATTTTCTTTTATGTGTGTGTTTGTGTATCTGTGTATATGTTTACATTCACACAGTTGTCAATGGGTATCAGTTTAGTCGGTGATCCAAGTTTAGTGATAATGGATGAACCATCGTGTGGTGTAGATCCACGATCTAGACGGAGTTTATGGTATGATAGGCTGTTTCTGTTTCATTTGTTCGTCCGTTTTCTTATCGTTGTTTTTGTTGTCTTGCTATTGTTAATATTTATAGAATTTGTTCTTTTTGTTCATCGTTATCAATAATTTTAACAAGTGACTAACATTAAGTGCGTACAGAAGTGCATAGGCGGTCGTTACTTCTCGGCTGTCGACATCATGGAAGTTGTTTTCTTCTTCGAGCACCTGAAACAGAAGACGTACTAGTGTTATGTGACTCTATAGCCTAGTAGACAACTGCTTGAAACCAGTCACACACACACAGCCCGTTTGACGGGGTTATTCGGATTATATCCGTATCTTAGCATCGTACAGTCGTTTATGGACCGTTGCAAGGTAATTTGGAATGCACACTTTTCTGGGTTGACCTTTTCTAACTCCACTTTGCAGAGATGCCTTGCTGGTCATCTGACAGAAATCTCCTACTGCTGTTACAGCCCTATTCATGAACAGTACGACTTCGCCGATAGATCCCCAACAGATTGTAGATGACTTACACTGTGATAGTAATTATTTTCAGTAAAACCACCATCTAAATCACCTTTCTGGCATGGTAGGACCTGCAGGAATATTAGTTCTGACCAGTACAGCTCGTTTGGTCGCTTCAACACCTGAATAATCACCGTTTTTCAGTCTCAAGTCAATAAAAACTGTGTTACAGATTATATTTAAAAGGTACTGAAAAGGTCTAAGATCATAACTGTTCAGAAAAAAAGTTGAGAAACATATGATTAGTTGATATTTGAGGTGAAAAAGTCAAAATGAGTCTGCCCTTTTCGGTAGTTATCAAGATGACACAAAAATGACAGCTTCAGGAAAACCCTCTTAAAACTTAGTAGAAACAACAATTAAGTTCAAGAAATAAGGGAGAAACTGCCATCTAATCTCACCTCTTCTATGTGTACCTACCAGTTTGACTGTAACTGCTGAGCCAGCTACTTTGGGCATACAGTAAGGCAGGTTCATCTTCACGTATTTCCGAACATCATCCTGCATAGTGGTTAAGGAAAGGACAAACAAGATTTATTCATAGCTAGCTCTAGACATTGAGCATAAAGTTGATGTTAGTACAGCATTTCACACTCCAGCTTATCTTAATTTTGCCTTACGAGTTCCTTTTCTACTGAAGCCATAAGAATCCACGTGAAGAAGCCAAATCCGTGTGTTTAGAAGGAATTCCTAGAGCCCCTATTTCCTTACTTCTTGGCCATCGTTAGATGAATGTAAAAACCTGACTATTTCACCCTCTTCCTAAACATTTTAAAAATTACACACGCTGCTTTTATAATCTTATACACTTATCAAATCCAACAATCTACACATGATGATTTTGTTATCTTTACCAATTCACCAACTTAACAACTAAAAATGCCCCAGACAGACGAACGATGATCAAGTTAGTAAATTTTTTCGATATCATAACAGACATACTATTACCTTTGTTATTTGGTATAGTTATCTTCATCGCTATTTTTACTTTCAATATGTCCCTTTAACTTGACCTATGTCTATTTTCTCACCCCCTAACTGTTTGTTATATATATGCTGAGATTTTGTAAATTCCGGTTTAATAATACTTTGATAAAGCTATTAGCATTAAATAGCGAAACGTCAGTAAAAACAATATCGTTTTGTTTTTCATTCATTGGGAAATACAAAAACCTTTATTATAATGAATATCATATACCCAATGCCCAAATTTTTTCAAACCGTTAAAAGTGAACTTGGTTTGGACATATATAAAATTATAATTGTCTAAATTATTTTATTTTTTTTGTAATTGCCTTTTTACTTAATCAACGTGAACACTTTCTTGTTGCTTAATTACCCTCCATTTTCTCAAAATTATACACTAAACAATCCACTTGTTGTAACTATTTCTATCCTTTAATTGTTTATAGTAATAATTAACAACCCACTTATCTTCTACAGATTGGTTTGTAAGGGTTAGTTTTGTTTTTACGGGTTGATCACGGATTAAAATCAGTTAGAGAACCATTGAAAACCAGGGAGTATTGGACAGCTGTTTCATCCTAGTTTTGGAATCATCGGTAGTACGCACCCACCCACAGGGGTTCGAACCCAGGACCTTCCGGTTACAAGGCAAGCTCGCATACCATTCAGCTACTGCTGGGACCCGATTCAATGGCCAGCCCATGAATTCTAACTTCTACCGATTCGTGATTTAGCGCGACCCCAACCAATGTCGTAGGTGGGACATCCATCCTCACACGTGATATCTGGATAGACCTCACTGGTCACGACTTCTCACTAGAACTCCAGCAAACTCTGTCCTGTAGCAAGTCACTAGCGAGCATGAAATTCATTTTCTATAGTTTGGTTTGTAAGGGTTAGTGGCTGAATGGTATACGAACTTGCCTTGTAACCGGAAGGTCCTGGGTTCGAACCCCTGTGGGTGGGTGCGTACTACCGATGATTCCAAAACTAGGATGAAACAACTGGCTGTCCAGTACTCCAGTGCTGGTTTTCAATGGTTCTGTAACTGATATCAGTCCACGGTCAACTTATAAAAAAAATCTCACTTATCGTTTATTTCTAAGAGGATGGATTTCCTGAAGTCCTGATGAGTAAAAGTTAAACACTGTTCAGTTGCTTATTTTGACAATGAAGTTAAGCAAGTACTCACCCATATAACTAACACTGAATATTACTCACACACTATCCTTCCTAGAGAATGAAGCTGGAATTCTTTTTAATTAACTGACTTAACAACTCAAAACTGTGCATAAAAAGGTCTCAGATGAAGCTGATGGCGGAACGCCCACCAGCCATATGGGAAGTCCAACACCGACTCCCCGTCGATGCACTGTTAAACCTCGTCTAGCTGATTAGCCGGTAGTAGGCCCGGAAAAATAGGGAAGGTTGAGGCTACTGAAACTTCAGACATCAAGGTTTGAATCTGCATATGTTCCACTCAGAAAGACAAAGAGAGATGAAAGAAAAAGTTCAAGGTGTTACACACACTATAGTGAAAAAAGTTGAATGATTACGGAAGATTTTCAAGGTTTTGATTGTCGAGTACTTGATTGATTGAGATTGGAAACTTTAGTTGTTATAATTCTATGTAAATTTCTATGCTATTTTCTTCGTCAGGCCGGTTCATGCTAAGGAGGCGAGAAGATGCGTCACTCGGGAGAAGCGTGTATAGTAAAAGCACATTCACAGGGCAATACACACATAACTCCTTAGTTACGTGCCCATTAAATATGAAAGAAATGTTGTTAAATGTCTTACGAGTAGAGCAGGAATTGAATATATTCACGATTCCTTGATGGAGATGGGCTATCCGAGTAGTTTCATATAGGAAACATATGAAAACATTGGAAAGGAAACCTGAGATTATGATTGCACGTAAAACCCTCTATTTATTAAGTTGCAATTTAATGGTGACTTATCAAGTGAGATTTTATTCCAAAGACTTTCAAGGAGTATACGAAGAACGTTTTACGCAGCAAACCTATGTTTGTCATTCTCTAGCCGACGAATGATTGGGACGCAAACGAAGGATAAGCTAGATAGTTTTGCCACATCTATGTGCATTTATCGATTCAGCTGCACCTGCGGTGACAGTTATGTTGGGCGTACGACGTAATGGACAGCTTAGTCAACGTGTTAGTGAACATCTCCATTCGTGGGGTTTTGTCAGAGGATAGACAAAAACAATCCGTAGCTCAATTTTGTCACATTTAATTGATAGTGGTCATGTAGTGGAGAAAAACAAGAGCTTTGAAGATAAATCCATAATGGATAAGATTTTATTTTGATAAATCACACAGTGTAGTACAGTTATATTAACTGATGACGTTTCGAGCACATTATGGATTTATACTCTACCACAGTGCCCAAGTTTTATACTTATATCAGCTTTGAAGATAATTCATCGTATCTCACCGAATCTTTCCAACAGACTTCGCAGTCGTCTACTGCACACAGCTGAGGCGATAGGCATTCGAACTATTAAACCTAAACTATGCATTCAAAAGAAGTTCGTACAGCCATTATCTCTCCCTTGTTAGCCTATTAAGACAAAACCAACTAATGACTTCTACACCACCCCTTACTTATATTTTCAACCCCTCTCTTATCATCCCTTAATCTTATCACATCTTCAATAAAAACGCGTTTCATTTACTTCCCTTACAATTTAGCATTACCTAATTGGCTCATTTGTTTTTCTTAGCCTTTATCGACCACTACGTCTACCTGAATATTTGTTTGTTTAATCATGCTGTCTTTCCTAATTCTTGTTATCACTGATGGTCTCACTTTTTCATCCTTATTATTGATGAAACCATTATTATTATTATTATTATTATTATTATTACTACTCCTATGACTAATTGTACAATTTATATTCACCATCTTATTATTTTACAGACAAAACACCATGATTGGTTTATATTTTAATTAATGCAGTTGCAGTCTTGTATCATAATATTGTCTCCAGCTTAGACAAGAGGGCTAAATTTGTTCGCTGCACCTTCCTAGATTATACATCTGCTTTCGATTCAGTACCTAGGGACATTTTATTAAACAAGCTTGCTGAAACTCAAACTGACTGTTGGGTTGTCAAATGGCTCCATTCTTATTTCTCAGAAAGAAAGCAATACACTGTATGTCATGCAAAGTCATCCACTTCGTTGCTTACTGAGACTGGCATCCGTCAAGGCACTGTCCTTTCTCCTTTTCTGTTTTCTTTCTTCTTGCTTGACTTGCCTCACTCTGATGAAATGAACTTTGTTAAGTATGCCGATGATCTAACTATTTCAATGACTGTGTTAAGATGAACAGCTTTCTATCAGGAATTAGCAAATGGTCTTCGTCTAACGGCCTTAAGCTAAATCCTTCCAAATGTCAGACTGTTAATTTCAGTTTCCGATGTAAACGAAAGTTAAATGAAGCCGTTGGTTCCTATGACCCTTGCAAAATTGATGATATTGATGATATAGAAACCAAGTCTGAAGTTAAGTATCTTGGATTAATTCTTTCTTCTGATCTATCCTGGTCTTCTCATGTCTTAGCGATTTCTAAAAGAATATTTCGTCTGACTTTTTACATTAAGAAGTTGAGGCACTCAGGCATAACTCAACCAAACCCTCCTCTTACAGTTTGTCAACTCTTGCATCTTGCATATTCTTCTTTACTGTTCACCCTTATTCTTCCCTGGATTGCTTAAAAAAGACTATGTCATACTTCGTAGAACTCGGAAGACTAGCTGACAGTAGGGCGAGTGGTGGTATCCCATTGGGCCATATCGTCGACATTGTCATTGATGATGGGCACTTGATTTCATGCAACAAATTTGCTAAAGGAATTTCGTCAGTCTGTGAGCATCCATCTCAGCACCGACAGCTTTCACCTCGCATCTCCTGCTCAGGTAGAACAAGGAGTCACTCTATCAAAAGACTTTACGCACGCACGTCTAAGTATTAAAAATTCCACTATATCATATTTGGCACGTATTCTATGTGAAGGCATGAACTAACTTACCTTCTTTGCACTAGTAAATAAACCCTTTTCTCCACCCTTACAACATCAAACTTTATTGTTATTGTTCCTCTTATATTTATAATCCTCTCAATTTCTTTTTCATAAGTGTGAACATCATTTAAGCTGTGTTATAACTGTTGATTTTGTATTTCCCCTCACTATCCTACATTAACAGAACATTAGCTTCAATGATCTATAACATGCTAAAGTTTCCAAACTGAATCGACAGAACTGTTTGAAACAAACTCACTGTTATTATTATTATTGTATTTAATATTCTCGATTCGTGCTTCGAATATTTTTGACTTTATATCGTAAAAGTGGACAAATTCCTCTGGTTAATTTTATTTATACTTTTAATTTTGTTTATATTATGAGTAAATCAGATGCAAGATGTTGTGACAAATGCTGAGAATTCCATTCTGTATTATAAGTACTGTTTTTGGAATATAGTAGATTATTATTACTGTTATTATTATTATTATTTAGGAGCACTTTGTTAAAGTGTATCAAGGGAACAAACAGAGGTTGTATTGTATCGACACACGCTACTGATGAAGCTGAAGCTGTCTGTGATACTTTAGCCATACTTGTCAATGGATGTACACTGTAAGTAGCAATAATAATAATAGTGACTAACTTGTTGTATTACATCTTTTTTTCTCTTATTCATTTGTTTGGTAACTCTCATAAAGTTCATTTACTACTCATATCACAATCAGTAGTGCTTGCTAGCTAGTCAAACTGAAGCAACACCGAACGGCTGATGTTGAACAGTGATACGGCCGTTCCTTTTTTATTTGATCACCTCGATCTGGCTAGCTGGTGAGTACTACTGTGGTGAGAGCTGGCTGCTAGCCAAAGTTGGTAAACAGTGATTGACGTCAATGTTTATGTCCCCAATATTGGTGGTGAGAAAATGAGAACAAAGGCTTTGCGTGGGCGGATACAGTTAGCATATGGATGATCTGACACAGTCACAAAGAGATGCAAGGTTAACTTTGTGTGAGAAACAACCAATCAAAAGACTGTATTTTCTACTAACAATAATCTACAATAATGTACAGTAAAATCTATAAATATGTGTTGATTTTCCTTAATAAACGATCTGTTGGCTGACTGGCCCTTGTCTTCTGTTGTTACACTACTAGTATACAACTACTTATATCAATCAGTCAGTAGTATATAGTCTTATACGAATATATTTGCTTTTTTTGAGTACCATTTATGATATCAATTTGGTTTCCTAAAGAAACTGTGGTGAAAACTTCACTTCTCGAACTGTGTACATCACCAGTTGCCAGCTAATTTACAGATTGTAAAGGCATTTTAAACCCTGAAGTTTCATTAGCACATGTATTGTCTTTAAGGCGTGGGGTTAATAACAAGGCTTATCAATACGTCGGCTGGGAATCAAACTCCAACCGGTTGCATAGTAGGCAAGCATTTAACCGTTGAACTACTGGCGCACTTTTTCATTTTCTCTGTTTCATGTTTCCAAAAGTTTCATAAAGTCGTCTGTTCACCTTGTAACAACGAAAGACAAGGGCCAGTCAGGCAACAGATCGTTTATTAAGGAAAATCAACACATATTTATAGATTTTACTGTACATTATTGGAGATTATTGTTAGTAGAAAATACAGTCTTTTGATTGATTGTTTCTCACACAAAGTTAACCTTGCATCTCTTTGTGGCTGTGTCAGATCATCCATATGCTAACTGCATCCGCCTACGCAAAGCCTTTGTTCTCATTTTCTCACCACCAATATTGGGGACATAAACATTGACGTCAATCACTGTTTACCAACTTTGGCTAGCAGCCAGCTCTCACCACAACCTGACTTTCGTTGAATAAAGTCTGACAGTATACTACTTAGACTATTGTCAGTAATATAAACTGTACGTTACCATAGTGCTGTAATCCAACTATGCACATTTTCAAACTTCACTCAATTCCCCAAAGAGCGTTGTAAATTGCTTATCCTTATAAGTGACATGATTGAATACAAAGATCATGGAAAAGTCATTGACGCGTATAATTGTTGTTAAGTATCCTAACCTATCAAAAATAGCGCTTCTCAAACGTTACTCTAAGTAAGCAAGTGGAATATATTTATTATATTATTGTTGTTCCCTTGAGTTCCAAGTGAAACATAGGACTTCAACAACACAACCCCACTTTGTCCTTTTCTCGGTAGTTCTCTTTCGGTGAAAACCATGGTCGCCCATAGTCTCTCATCTTCTCCATATCACCCTAGCACGACCCACTGGTCGTTTCCTATTCGCATTCCTCTCGAACAATAGCCCGGTGCGCGACGTCATCCAACGGTCTCCTCAGTGTGTGTGTCAGATCCATCTCCATTTTCTTCGGCGTATTTATTGAGCGATGGGTTCTTGGTTGGTTCGTCCCCAGAGTCTCCTATTACTTATTCTTTCTGGCCGGTCATTTGATCTTCAGTATGGAGCCAGCCAGTGAAGTGGGCAGCTGTTGATAAAAGTCTGCAACAGGCTGTTGGAAATCCTTTTTGTGACACGCTGGTCAAGTTTCCGACTCTTATAGAGGAAATAACTTAACATTTGTGTTGAACAGAATCCGAATTTTGTTGTTTATGCTGAGGCGGAGTGTAGGAGATTTCCAAACTGATTTCAGAGTGACGAAAGTCTGCCTTGTTTTTCTGATTCTGACTGTTTTCGACATCCTTATCCGTACCTCCTTGTGTAGTTGAAACGATGGCGTTTGGATAAGCGGAGGAAGTAGCATCTTTCAAATTCGTACCGTTGATATTAATTGGTGCTTCGTGTTATTGTTGGTTGGTTACTTTCATTACTTTAGGTAGCATATTAATTAAATTACCTGTACATATATTAGTCAGAAAAGTGATCTTATACGCCTCCATTCAATCGATTGTGTTGGTTCGTAAAATATGGTCAGCAGTAATAAAGTTATAAGTAGAAAATGTTTGGCAAGGATTGAGAGTCAGTCTACGAAATTGTGAAACCACATCGATTAAGATAATTGGGACAAGTATTATGCATAACAAGTAGTGTTTTTGGGAATCATCAGCAGTACACACCCATCACAGGGGTTCGAACACAGGACCTTCAGGTTACAAGGCAAGCTAGCTCGTATACCATTCAGCCACTGGGACCCGACTCGTCAATGGCCAGCCAATGAATTCTAACTTCTACCAGTTCACAACATAGCGCGACCACTTAAAAATATCTTCTATGGCGAATAAATGTCGTCACCTTTGACTTACTGTACCCTAATGGTCACGGCTTCCAATGGCTCAAACCCAGTGCCCATAGTTTCAAACGCCAAAGCGTTATCCACTAGACCACCTGGGTCACAAGAGCCAGCTCGGTGGGAACATCATTACTCGCTGCGGAATGCAGGTACATCCAGTTGTCGAGCTAATCCCAAATAGGACGAAATACTCATTCCAGTGGATTCCACTGCTAGTCACCATCCACCAATTAACTCCCAATCACATGCCCAGACATTGTCGAAGCATCTGCACAAGGAGACGCCGACATGTCAACCTGAGATGAGCAATTTGGTCCAATCAGTCGACGGGAAAATATTAGGATTGAATTAGGAAATTACACTGTTGATAGTATTTAACAAAAGTAGACTAAGATTTATAAGTCTGAGGTCAAATTCTGATCACATCTCATACAGTTTTGTTTATTATACACGTTGATGACTGTTTCATGACTCATATGATTGAACAAATTTTTTTAAAAACAAGAGATGTCGTTTTTATCATATATGATCCTCTATTATGTTAATTTTGCATTAATTTCCCTGAAGAAGTTCAGACCAGTTTGCCGAAAACAGGGAGCGTTGGAATTACTTATTTCAATTTCGCTGAGCTTTTTACAAATATCACTACGAAGTGGTCGCACTATGTTGTGAATTGACAGAATTTGGATCGGATTGGGTCCCAGTGTCTGATGAATGGTCTCCGAGCTAGCTAGCCTTGTAACCAGAAGGTCCTAGGTTCGAACCCTTGTGGTGGTGGGTGCTTACTGATAAAGAGTCCCAAAAACAAGACTGAAGAAACAGCTGGCTGTCCAGTACTCCCTATTGGTCTTCCAACGGTTCTCTAACTGATGTCAGCTCATGATGAAATCCTCCAACCAACCAAACAAAATCCCTACAAGCCAATACTTGATAAATATAATTTTTAGTAAATATCTTTCAGTTCAAATCACTTCAACATATTTTTAAACTTTCCTGGTTTTCTTCTCCTACTTCTTTTTTTCTGCCCATTTAGATCTATCGGTTCACCATATCTTACAAAAGGTACATGTAGTAAAGGCTTGATTGTTGATGTGAAAATGTCACGTGATTATAACTTACCACCAGCAAACGCCGATGATGAAGTGCAGCATAATATGGAGGCATTTATTCGACGAATACGTATTATGTGTAAAGATATAACAATAATTGATCAATTCGGTGATCGTGTTTGCTTACAAATTGATTCACATTTGGAACAACCATTTAAGGCAACATTAAATAGATTATTAACAGGTAAGTAAGCAATGAAGGTGAAATGTATTATTAGTATTATTATTGTCTCATTTAGTTTCTTGAGGAACATAGGGCTTCAGTCGCACTTCTCCATTGTGCGTTCAGTTCTCTGCCAACGTTTTCTCACCAGACTCCACGTCTGCCCACATGCTTTCATCTCCTCTTCACATGACCTCCTTCATTTCACCCTCACATTGACGACCAACTGACTCGCCGCTTCCCATTCGGCAGGATTCCACTCGAGCGATGGCCTGGTGTGTGATGTCACTTGATGATGGTTTGTTTTCTCAGAGTATGGCCAATCCAATCCATCTCCATTTCTTCCTGCATATTTGTTGCACAATTGATTCCTGCTAGGTTGGTTCGTTCATTGCCAGAGATCCGTGTTGCTGATCTTTTCTGGCAGGCCATCTGATCTTGAGTGATATTAAGCGAAGACAGCAGTAAATGAAGGTGTGTAGTTTGTTCGAAGTGGCCTTCGTGATGCGGCGCGGCGCCAAGTCTCTAATCCGTATAGTAGTACTATACGGATATATATATATTTATATATTTGCAAATTATGTTATGTTTGATATGACACGGGTGCTTGGTTTGAGTCTTCGTGTGTGTGGGGGGGAACTACCACTACCCAATAAGATGCAAGTACATCCAGATGATAAGCCACAAATAGGACGAACCACGAGACCTAGATTCTACTGCTGGGCACTTCCAAATCAGTAACTATAAGTTCTAGGTAGTCTGGATAAAGTTAAAACATTTTTTCAGGGACTCCCTATGTGTCGAAATCAGGTTGATCAAACGGAAAATCACAAACACAAACAAGCAGTTTCATTTCGTAGATAACAGTTGAACGTTTAAAGTGTTGTGTGCTGGATTAAAGCTGTCACTGGAAATGCCATAGAACACTCACTAGGGACTATGTACACTCAGTTGACGCGTTTCGAATTCGGATAAAGCGCATGTCTTAGAATCAACTACTAGCCAACAGTAGGTGTGTAATTTGAATAAAGCAAGAACAACAGTGGCGGCTTGTGCAGAATAATATGGTACCATCATTTATTTCGTTGGCTTCTCATCAGCTGCTTACAGCCTAAATAAATTATGAGGTTTGCGTACAGAAGAGTTTTAACATACTTGCGAATTTTACATGTTGTCAGTTGACAGAAAGTTCCACAATAAGTGAACAGTGCTCAGAAAATTGCGCTTATATAGTTTTTACACAGGCAGATCAAGTTTAAACAAAATAAATGTATGCATACAATGGTAAAGGAGTTACGTAATAAAGAAAAGTATGCGTTAGATACAGAGTGACTAATAAATTAGGTAACAATGTACTGAGTTCAACTCAAATCATAGAAACAAGAGACAAGCAAAATTACAGATTATAAAAGGGGGTGAGGTTAAAGACAAAGATTACGCAATCAGATGAGAGAATAAAGAAATTCAGTTACCAGGGCAAGGAAAGACTAATAACTGCTTCTTTCTGAACACATAAATCTGATTTCAAGCGTTTGATAGAAATTGCTTCGGCAAACTTGAGGAGAATGGAACTCCTTTGTCTATTGATAATTTTAAAAGATTTCTCGATTTCTACCTCATGACCCGCGTTGAGGAGATGTCTAGTAATAGCGCTACTATAAGAGTTTGTTCCCTTGAGACATAGGCTTTTCGGCACATGTTCAGAAAATCAGAGTTGTGCCCTTCTTTCTGTTCTCCCAATGTAACTGCTCCCGCAGATACACGTAAATTTGTATACACAGTTGGAGTTAACATGAGAAGGGTATCTATCGACTTTTGACTACACCAAAGAGCATGTTGTTCGATGGATGGGAACCAACTTAGCTGCAGGATAGGGTCTGGCTAGTGACTTTCTCAGTTTTCTGTTGACCGTTTCTGCAATGTTTTCACCTAGGTGTGTAATCATGGTGTGGTGGTGTGATACATACAAGGGGTTCCAATGGAATATTATCCTCACAGTAAGAATCATTATATATGTAGGTGTTAACTTCTGAGTACTATTCCCACAGTTCATTAGTGTATTAGCAACAGAATACTATGCATATGCATTTGAACATTCTATTTCATGTCGATTAATGTAAACCAAAATCACACACTCAGTGATTGGTTAGAGAATATATAAAACTGTATAGATATATAAATAGCTGTTTGATCACTTGAAGGAAATATACCTTGGCTTCTATGTCTTGCCTTCTACTGTTACAATGGTAATAATATTGAGGCACCAGTTCAAAGATAAATGCATAAAATCAATGTGCTATTAACTGACTGAAGTGAGTAGTGGTCTATCACTCACACCAATCGGGTAGCGCTTCCTAGCCAGTCAGATCAAAGCGAGATAGTCACCCACAGGGCGGCCGTTTCCCTAATTTATAGGCGAGCTCATTAGCGGTGTACCCGCTTTGGGAAGTTGTATCAGCACCAACGGATTGATTGGTGACTAAATCTCAGCACGGATCCAAACTCCTCGAGCTGCCTTCGCTAAATTACACCATCTCTGGCGTAGGGGTGACATCCAGCTATCAACCAAGGGACGTGTGTACTGCTCACCAGTTCGCTCCGTCCTTCTCTATCGCTCTGAAACATGGCCAATACGAGTTGAAGACATGAAAAGGTGGACTGTTTTTGATCATAGATGTCTACGATCTCTTTCTCACGTTAGGTGGTATAATAAGGTAAGTAATGTTGACGTTAGACGTAGAGTGTTGAGCAAAGAGGGAAAATCAATCGACGAGGCTATAAAGTTACATAGATTGAGATGGCTAGGTCACGTGCTGCGCATGCCTAACCACCGCCTCCCCCTCCCGATGGGCATTACTAGCTGATATAGGTAGGTGCAGGTTGGAAAAGAGTAAGTGGTGGCCAAACAAAAACATGGCCTCATCAATCCATGAAATCCTTGACAGTTAAACTGAGTCAGGTAGGGAGATGCAGACTTCCGGGTTGGGGCCCGCCCTCGGGACTCTAAGAATCAATCACTGTCTGGAGACAATAGGTGACCTGGCTGAAAATCGTTGTCAATGGCTTACGCAGATGTATTCAGTCTCTGTAATCTTTCAAATTTTTTCTTCCTACCATTACTCATTCTGTTTCACTCTGATACTTGTCAAAACTCTATTGGTTCTCTTCACTCATTTTCTTGTCTACCTCTGTGTGCTATTTGGAACGTGGTAACTCGAACTGCTGCACTTTGGTGCCAAGTTCTATGTTGAATCCAGCCAGTACCCGCTTTGGCTCAGCGGGTTCGGCGTGTATGCCCCCTTTTTTCTATTTCACTATGCATGTTTCTTGCTTGGTTCGCTGTCTGCCAGAGTTCCTGGTTGATTATCCTCTCTGACCGGTCACCTGACCTTCAGTATCCAGGGATGGCAGCTGTTAATGCATATAGATGTATAATTGAGTCACGCTTCGTCTCTATCAGACTCGTTCAACAATGTACACAAAAGCATCGCTTTTACGATGGAGCATGAAGATGATGAAAAATTCCATTTTTTGGACGTAAAGCTTGAGCGAAAATACACAAGGAGGGACACTCGAAAGATCTGTATATCGTAAAGACACATGGAGTTGTCTTTACTTGAATTTCAACAGCTTCTGCCCAATGAGATACAAACGAACTCTGGTGAAAACGCTTTTCTCTAGAGCGAAGAGAATATGTTCACTAAAACTAGAAACTGGACAGTGAACTAATGCTTCTTGAAAAATGCTTGAAAGAAAATGGTTACCCACGAAGTTTCATTAACAAATATGGTAAGAATGAACTCAAGAAGCTTGGTAGAGCTACAGCCAGTAAGAAGCCTATTTTCATTAAACTCGACTACAAGGGCAACGACATTATGAGAATGGTAAATAAAAGATTAAACGCAGCCTTGTCTAGGACGTATCCTGCAGCATAATAAGTCTCTCTACCCCGAACAACCTCCTCACTGGTGCAGTCAAAGATTGACAAGTATCCCTCACATGTTACCTCCTACTGTGTATACCAATTCACATGTGTCTGCGGAAGCAGTTACATTGGAAGAACAGAGAGGAAGGCCTACGTCAGATTCTGCGAACATGTACCAAGGAGCCTCCGGTTAAAGGGACCGAGTTTTTTAAGCTCTTCAATCGTCAAACCCTCGAATGACACAGGACACCGAGTAGATGTGCTGGAATCATTCAAAGTAATTAACAGACAAAGTAGTACCTCAAGTCTACTAAGGTTTGCTTAAGCTATAGCAATAAAACGATTGAAGTTTGACTTATGTGTCCAAAAAGAATCCGTTGTTGGACTTCAATTACCCTGGTGAGACTCACTTCTTAGTAACTCTTTGTTTTCCAATTTTGTTTACCTATCTTTTCACTCCCCACCCCCCGCTATGTTTTTCGATTGACTCTCTAAAGAGATAATTCTTTCTTGATCTTCTGAGTTCTGCTCACTGTATGATAGGATCCCAGGCACTTTGTTATTGTTCAATTATCTTAACGAGTGTTAATCTCGCATAAGTGGTATATCATCATTTCCCACGCATTTTGTTATTGACTATTACGACCAATTATTTCAAATACTGTTAGCTGTCTGTATTAGTTGTAAAAATGTATAAATACCATTTCCTAAATAAGTTTCTTTGTCGTAGTTTGTCGTAGTTGTTGTACTACAATACACAGTCACAGACCAGACTTTGTCTTTTGATATTTGTGTGGTTCGCTGAATCTGAAGGTACCAGAAGCAGATAGGCATATTAGTCAGGCGCAGACAGAACAAGGCGACAACGTCCTCATTTAATTCTGCAACGGTTATAACACTGCATTACATCATAAAATTCTCACCTGACCTCATGTGCACCGAAATTTTGATCCTCTCTTATCTAATTACGTAAGTATTACTAAATTGCTTTTGTTACCGCCCCAACAACACAACTGTTAATTAACTTATTTTTCAAGAAACTTCTCTCTAACAAGAGATATATATATTATATGTCATAACACTTTAGACACCTGGTAGATCGCAACGCCTTATTTCACTATGACGCTCTGACAATATGCTTGCTAATGGACAAAACTTTGTTAAGATAGTACACTTTTTATTTTTATTTTATTAAAGAATTCAGGTTGTACACAGTTGCTGATGAGAACCGACGAAATAAAACTTGATCCAGTTTATTCTGCGAGCCAGTGTTTCTTCTTTCTTTGTTCAAATTTATAAAAAAAGGGAAGAATGATTGTATGAAATAATTCTTTTTTTATTTTATCCTTTCAGCTCATCAGTCTGGATTAGTTGAAGATTTTAATTTAACTACACCAACTTTAGAACAGGCATATTTTGAATTGGCTAAAGCTTATTCTAAACAAAAGGCAACTATCAATTAAATCTGATTTAACTATTACTGTTATTATTATTATTATCAAAAACACATCAAAACACAAATGTATCCTGATTATATTGATTTTTGATCGTTCAAGTAGTATATAAAGTTAGTTGGTTGGTTGGTTAGTAAGTTAGCTAGTTATTTATTGAGCAATAAAATGATATCGAATATTTATGAGTTTTTCAAAAAAGTGTCCCCTGGCTGATGCAAAGAGTAATCAACATATTTCACCGTAGAAAAAATCTCCATTTCGACATTTAGAAAACAGAAAGATTGAGCGAAGAAATATTTACTTTTCAATTAGATACTCATCCTTCTCTGGCTCCACTTTAACATATTCTGTATAGCATTTTTATTACAATACACAACAATTTACCAATCATCAAGTGGCACTGATATGTTTGTTAACAATAATTAGTCAGTGTCAAAATGTCAATGGGTTGATAATTAACGAAGAAAATCAATACACACAATTAAAAGGTAGGAATGGTTAGAATAAATTAATTTTACAAGGATAACACGTAATTAAAGATGAAGTGGTCAGAAAAAATAAAATAAATTGGACCATTTTAATTTTTAAAGGTTTAGGGGGAGGGGGACGACGTAGTCTTGTTTATGCATTCTTATAACGATGGCCACGGTAAGGAAAGTGGCTGTACAAATTTCTTCTGAACACATAGGCTTGGCTTCTTCTGGTGGATTCCGATTGCTTCAGCTGTTGTATGTAGAAGACGAACTCGTGGAGCAAAGTTAAGATTAGTCGGAATGCGATAAATAATTTTAAATGCAATATTCACATCAACCTTATGCTCCGTATCAACGAGGTGTGCTAAAACAGAACTACAAATAGATCTTGTTTGTCCTCCCTTGCTTAACCATGTTGGATGATGTTCGGAAATACGAGGGTGAACCTGCCTAATTGTACGCCCAATGTAGCTGGCTCCGCAGCTGCAGTCAAACTGGTAGACACACATAAAAGAGGCAAAATTAGGTAGTTTATCCTTATTTCTCGAACATAGAACAGGGGTGGTTGTGAAGAGACAACGTACCTCTGCTGCATAATAAGCTCTTTTAACTGCATTCTTCAGGCGCTGTGTTATTATTTCGCTGATGTTGTCACCGAGGAACTGCAATTTTGTTAACATTCGTTTTTTCCGGAACTGTAGCCATACTGACTCTCCTTGGTACTGAATTCATATTTTTATCAATGAATTTATCTGGATAACCATTTTTTCTAAGTAATTCCCTCCCTCTAATTCACCGTATTGTGTGTTATGCGATATGAACCTGTCGACAGTTAGCTGATGCGACCGGATGAACTTGAATGTCGGTATAATAACACTGAACGTGATGGACTACTCAACTCACACACCCCGTCCTTAATGCCTTCCCATTTCTTTAGGTTGTCAGCAAAGAGATAGGGAGTACCACATATGGTTACACTGCAAATATGGTTAATGTAAGTTACGAAAAGCAGTGCATACACTACCCTGAATACCACTCCGCTTCGTGTGGGTCTAGGTGATGAGTAATTATTTGGAAATTTCAAAACTTAGGAAACCGGTCTTCCGAGAAAGAATTGAGCCAAGGTAACAAGGGTTCGCATCACCTGCACGACTTTAGCTTTAAGAATTCATCTCTTGTGTTGGACTTTATCATCAAAGGCTTTTTTTGAAGTCGAAGAATAGGGAGTTGTGACAAACAAACCATGATCACGCTTAGCAGTGACATCACCAAAGTAGTCAAGTAGGCAGGTGGGGCATGATCAGCTGGTCAAGAAGCCGTGTTATGCTGGAGTAAACACTTTATGAAGGTGAAGGTATGAAGCAATAGATTGCCCTTTGACTGTTTGCATAACACTGGAAACTACTGACGTGATATTGATGGGTCTGTAGTTTTCGATATTAGAAGTTGGTCCTAGTTTATGCATAGGGGTTATAAACGACAGTTTCCAGCGCTCTGGGAAACTGCCATTACTTAAGGACAGATAAAAAACTTTAGGGGGATAATAGGTTTGTCCTTACCGCCCCTTTTCATCAGGACAGATGGAATTCCAACAGGCCCGGAATTATATGATGTCTGGAGAGATGCTATAGCGGATGAAATTTTTAGTGGGGTGAATGTTGTATTACCCAAAAAAAGATTTAGTGTTGTCAAGACTAACTACTGTATCTTCGTTAAAAAAGTAGCTAGCAAAGTGGAAGCTGAATAACTCGCATATCTCCTGCAGGTCTTCGTATAGTTTTTTCTCCACGTAGTAATAAGTTGGGGATACCTATTCCGTTGTTGCTAATTCGGGATTTAATTAGTTTTACCACTGCCTACGTATTATCAGGTTGCGAATGGAGGATGCGTTCTAGTTTGATGGACTCAGATAATTGATTAGATTCGTATGAATCATAAGTTTCCCTGAGTGTAATGAGTGATAAAAAGTCACTAAATCTGTAGAATAGTCTAGCATGCTTACGCAGGCGATTTCGAATCCTTACGGGGATGAAGTCGGGCTTCTCAGGCCTCAGTTTCACCAGTCTTGCTGGAACGATGAAGTCATGTGCAGATCCTAAATTCTCATAGAGCAAATTGTTTGTCTCTGTAGCCGAGCTGCATGTACAGTATGGCCTCCAGCCTAGAGTGCGTAGGTATGGTTTCAGGTCGTTCCACTTAGCGTGTCTGTAACCCCTGAGTAATACTTTGTTGGGGCTTATTGTTGAACTCATGCTGGTGTAAGTATTGAATTTACCAAACACTACTCTGTGGTCACTGCCAGGAAACTCCTTACCTATTTGAAGGGTGGAGGGGGTGATGCCATTAGTGAAAACTAGATCTAAAATCTTAGCCCGGTAGGATGCTTTACGTGTTGTTGCCAGTCTTTTGTTTCTTTTATGTTCAAAAATTCACTGTACCATTTTGGTGAGCGAAGCGATTGCCAGACTGCATCAGGCATACTTAAGTTTCCACATATAATTTTCAAGTAATTTTAGCTGTGTGAGGTAGTGAAGTGGCGTAAGCTTCATATCATCTTGAACATCTGAGCATGGGAGATGATAGATGCAATCTATAAGGTAGGAATTGGAATGAGACAGTCTTAGAATAGCCCAAACTGAGTCGTTATCTGTGATGAGCTCTGGGCAGCCTAAATATCAGACCATATATATATAACACATCCTCCCCCTCTATCGTGGTTTATGTCACCTCTGAGTACGTAGTACTTATCATTAGAAATATCTTTATCGCAAATCTGAGGGGTGCACCATGTTTCACCAAGGATTTTAGGGACAGGTTGCAAATAAAGGATAATGTCGTGAAGTCGGACATTTTGGTGAGTAAGGGGCGAGTATTGATTGGACAGAATGAAAGTTAGGAATGACGGTGAAGTCGCACATATCTTTAAAAACGTTTATCGCGTCTGGAGTAGGTTGTTTGATAGGCGCAGATACAGATAACGGTGACCTACTGGCAGTGCTGTAATGGTGTACTACACCAGTATCAAAACAGAGAGAGAGGTGCTACCGTTGATTACCCTGGGGGATGTAAAGTGTTCACAATACTGTGACTGGAATGCATCGCTCTCCCTTCTGGAGACAGGTGGTTTAACAGTATGTGCGCTATTTGCTTGAATATTGAGACGAAGATTTCGTATTGGCTGAGAAAATTTAGATTGGATGAAGGAGGCAGGTATTTCTTGTGGACAGTATGCCGGAGTAGAGTTATGTGCGTCGCAGTAATGACTAATACTTTGTGTGTTTAAGTTATTTCCGTAAATATTAGTCCATCGATGACCTTGGGTAGTCTGTATTCGGTGATTTCGGAGATGTGGTGAGTCAGAGAGCCACCTTTAGAAGACAAGCCTAACCCACTTGCTCCTTGTTGTAGAGGTCCCTGGATCATATTTCCGCGTAACAGCTGGTTTACTTATATCCAAGGGGATACAATCTTCTATAGGAAGTTCTGTGGTTAGACAGGGTTTTGCGACACTTGATAAACTTACAAGGCTACGTCTTTGACATAACGTTAGGTCATGCGCAAGTTTAAGGTGTAGATGAACTAAATTTCTAGCATTTTTATGACTACTGAATTTGAACAGCACTGGACAGGTACACCTTCCTGAGCCTGATTAGATGGCAGTTTGCTGAAGGCATGCCACACGCTTGGAGACATGTCACTTTGATTTTGTCCAGAGACATCCGATCAGACAGATTATATGCGAGAACGTTTCGCTAAGTAACTTGATACACCTAGATTTCAACAGACTATTTGAATTGGTATCGTAAATTGGGCCACATAAAGGCAGTAACCGCTTAATGGCATTTATTTTCACAGAATTTCCTAGATAAATAAGGCCTAACACTTATATTCTGGTTAGCAGTGGTGTGCATCTCTGATAGCAAGTCGAGTACAATGACTTCGGGGACACTATTGAGGTTACGTGGAACGTGGAGTGATGCACATCTCTTTTTTTAGCCGAGTGACCGAAGCTACACTCACGCGTAGAAAGTACTCGCTTATCCCGCTGTCCCATATAATTGCAAACCGATCAGTTTGTCTTCAATTAGAAGCTGAGTAAAAACGAAACTAGGTATATATGCGCAAATCTGTATATCTAACGGATATATACAGACTAAGAGCAACTATAATAGATACGCATGGTATGGAATTTTATTGTCTGTAAATAAACGATAAATAGACAAAGGCATTAAACTGTGAAATACAGACTACAAAGAAATTAAATTATCCCGCAAATGGATTCTGATATTAGCAACTTCTCTATAGTTTCGTTTCGTCTTGGGATTTAGTTTCAGTTGAAAGAAGGAGGATAAGCTCTGCAAGAAACTGAATCTAAGCTTGATAACTGACGGTGATATATTCGGATATAAAGAAGCTGAGGTATTCAACTGATACTTGTGAAGTCGCAAACTATCCACTACAGTATTGAAGAGATCGTTACATCAGACCAGAATCCACAAATTGCTAAGAATATATATATATCCCCGTCATCCGGAGGACTCCTAAAGACTCGCCGAAACAGTGCACATATAGCATCTCATTGGAAGAACATTTGTTGACAGACCCTCAGATATCTTCTCCAAGGAGCTAGTATGCTACACACTGGATGCCATTCGCAACATCGT